CTGTGAAAGGTGATATCTATGTTGGTTGGTGATACGGATTCGGACACGTCCTTGCACTTTGAAAAGTGACGATGTCGAGGTGAGTGAAATAAGTAAACAGCAGATTTATGTTTGGTGTTGTCGATGTTTGATGCTGTGAAACTTGGGGAATAGCTCTCAGATTGTCATGATAACTTGGTAGGTACAGGCGAGCACATCAGCGGTGGAGCTCGAATGATTGCTCTCTGTCTCATGCAAATAGTTAAAGTGTTTAGCTGTTTATAGTCAGCTAACTAGTTGGTTGTTTTGTCTTGTTTCTACCAATGTAATGTATATGGAAATGTCCCAAGCTGCTTCCTAAGTAGTTAGTCTGTCAGGCAAGAAAAGTTGTGTTTAGCGGTAAATTTGGGCTTCACTCACAAAGCGTCAACATCAGCTGTCAGTTTCACTAGCTAGCCATACAGACAAGTAGCCACCGATATGAAGGCTAGATTAATTAGTGTTTATCTGTTGGGCTTAGGTTATGGTTTGCATGTTTGCTAGGTGCAGATATTCATAAGATATACATTGCCTTGTTTTCCTATTATTTGACATCTTAGTTGTGGTGTTAGGGTAGTAGAGGCCCGCGCAGTGGAGCTCATATGATGAGTTGGGTATTTGTTTATAGCCAGCTAACAAGTTGCTTGTTTTGTCCTGTTTCTACCCATGCAATTCATTTGGAAACTGTCCCAGCTTTGTAACTAATCAGCTAACATTGGTGAACTCTGTAGTTAGTCTGTCAAAGTAGGCTACTATTTCTACATTTTGTGTCAGGCCTGGTCTGTACTAAATCTAATTGAGAGAGGTTACCTACATTTTCAAATAGTCTCTGAATAATTGTTTACATTTTTACATTGTTACAGAAGTAAAAATCGTTGTAAATCAAACATGTTTAATTGTTTTGTTATTAATATGTAAATTATATTTATAAATATATTATCCTTGGTACATTTTGATAGGGGGTGTCTTTACACAATGGAAGACAAAATGAGTGTTTTCCTATTGACATGAATGTGGTGTCAACCTCTTAAGGATCGGACCCTTTTTTTCCATTTTCGCCTAAAATGGCTGCCTGTAGCGCAGGACCTGAAGTAAGGATATGCATATTCTTGATACCATTTGAAAGGAAAAACTTTTGTGGAAATGTGAAATTAATGTAGGAGAATATAACACATTAGATCTGGTAAAAGATAATAAAAAAAAAAAAAATAATTTTGTTTATTACATTTTTTTTCAGTTTAGGCGCAATTAAGATTTTGGCCACTAGATGGAAGCATTGTGTGTGCAAAGCTTCAGATTGATCCAGTGAAGCATTGCAATACTGGACTATTTTGTATAAAGTCTGCCCAAATGTGCCGAATTGGTCAATTGATACATTTTCAAGTACATAACTATAGAGAACATACAAAAATGATATGGTAATACAAAATGTAAGTTTACACACTCACAGGAATGTCATACGTGATTGATCATTAGCTTATACAATAACTTTCACACATCTAGATGGCCAGGCAGGGTGGGTGTGGAGCCAGAGACAGCAAGGGTTCAAACTGTAGAACCCAGTTCCTACATTTGAATATAAAAATGGATTTGTCAAACAGAACTATGCTACATTTTATCTCTGGGACCCTCAGGATGACAAATCAGAGCAAGATTACTGAATGTAAAAAAACATTATTTACCTTCAGAAGTGAATGTATCAAACAAGTTGCCGTGATAAGTTTTTTGTTGTTGTGCACTCTCCTCAAACAATAGCATGGTATTTTTTGACTGTAATAGCTACTGTAAATTGGACAGTGCAGTTAGATTAACAATAATTTAAGCTTTCTGCCCATATAAGACATGTCTATGTCCTGGAAAGTTTGCTGTTACTTACAACAGTCATGCTAATCACATTAGCACACTTTAGCTCAACCATCCCGTATACGGGACACCGATCCTGTAGAGGTTAAAGAAGAGGTTGTGCTCTTTAAAACTAAGTTAACTTGTAATTGTCCTTTATTTAATTGTATTTAATGTCTGTTTGTTTGAAATATGTGAGAACATGAGCTTTAACTTGAAAATTCTCAGTAAGCTACAGCAGCATTCTAGAATTCTATTGGGGTCTAAAGGGTTAACTTCTTCTATGAACATAGCATTGTATTTGGTCAAACACAATTCTCTCCATCAGTTTACTAAGAACAGGCAGCAAACACTAGACCCACTTCAATTTGCATAGCGCCCCAACAGATCCACAGATGATGCAATCTCTATTGCACTCCACACTGTCCTTTCCCACCTGGACAAAAGGAACACCTACGTGAGAATGCGATTCATTGAGCCCGGACTTGAACAAGATCGAACATCTCTGGAGAGACCTGAAAATAGCTGAGCAGCAACACTCTTCATCCAACCTGACAGAGCAGAGAAGAATGGGAGGAACTGAACTATCACATTTACATAACTATTCAGACCCTTTACTCAGTACTTTGTTGAAGCACCTTTGGCAGTGATTACAGCCTCTAGTCTTCTTGGGTATGACGCTACAAGCTTTGCACACCTGTTTTTGGGGAGTTTGTTCCATTCTTCTCTGCAGATCCTCTCAAGCTCTGTCAGGTTGGATGGGGAGCATCAATGCAGAGCTATTTTCAGGTTTCTCCAGAGAAGTTAGATCGGGTTCAAGTCCGGGCTCTGGCTGGGCCACTCAAGGACATTCAGAGACTTGTCCCGAAGCCACTCCTGCGTTGTCTTGGCTGTGTGCTTAGGGTCATTGTCTTGTTGGAAGGTGAACCTTTGCCCCAGTCTGAGGTCCTGAGTGCTCTGGAGCAGGTTTTCATCAAGGATCTCTCTGTACTTTACTCCGTTCATCTTTCCCTCGATCCTGACTAGTCTTCCAGTCCCGGTCACTGAAAAACATCCCCACAGCATGGTGCTGCCACCACCATGCTTCACCGAAGGGATGGTGCCAGGTTTCCTCCAGACATGACGCTTGGCATTAAGGCCAAAGAGTTCAATATTGGTTTCATTAGACCAGAGAATCTTGTTTCTCATGGTCTGAGAGTACTTTAGATGCCTTTTGGCAAACTCCAAGCGGGCTGTCATGTGCCTTTTCCTGAGGAGTGGCTTACATCTGGCCACTCTACCATAAAGGCCTGATTGGTGGAGTGCTGCAGAGATGGTTGTCCTCCTGGAAGGTTCTCCCATCTCCACAGTGCAACTCTGGAGCTCTGTCAGAGTGACCATCAGGTTCTTGGTCACCTCCCTGACCAAGGCCCTTCTCACCCGATTGCTCAGTTTGGCCAGCTCTAGGAAGGGTCTTGGTGGTTCCAAATTTCTTCCATTTACTGTAAGAATGATGGATGCCACTGTGTTCTTCTGGAACTTCAATGCTGCAGAATTTTTTTGGTACCCTTCCCCAGATCTGTGTCTCGACACAATCCTGTCTCGGAGCTCTACAGACAATTATTTCGACCTCATGACTTGGGATTTGCTCTGACATGCACTGTCAACTGTGGGACCTTATATAGACAGGTGTGTGCCTTTCCAAATCATGTCCAATCAATTGAATTTGCCACAGGTGGACTCCAATCAAGTTGTAGAAACATCTCAAGGATGATCAATGGAAACTGGATGCACCTGAGCTCAATTTCGAGTCTCATAGCAAAGGGTGTGAATACTTATCTAAATAAGGTATTTCTGTTTTTTATTTGTAATACATTTGAAAAATTTATAAAAACCTATTTTCGCTTTGTCATTATGGGGTATTATGTGGAGATTTATAATAATTATTTCATTTTTTTATCAATTTTAGAATAAGGCTGTAATGTAACAAAATGTAGAAAAAGTCAAGGGGTTTGAAAACTTCCCGAATGCACTGTTTACTGATTGTTTAAAGCGAACTACCAAAACTATTGCTGATGGTGTACCTGAACAATCAAAATAAAATCTATTGTAAGCCCTGTTCAGCAGGTATAGCCAGATGAGAGTTGTGTCTCCGGTAGCTTACTTTTATTCCAGTAAAACATACTTTTCAACAGTGCATAGATAACAATAACCTAGAAAATCACATAGGTTGTCACAACTAATAAAGCATAATATTGCGCAAGCCATTTAGCATTTCAATGCTGAAGGTGCCACACAGATATGCAAGAAACAGGCCGCCTACCTCACGTTGGTCAGAGCACGAAGCTGGGCACAGTGCGCAGTTTGACTAGGCTACTGATATTTCCTAGGGTTGTTCGGGATGCAAAATGACTTGAAGATCAATGACTGTCAACACAACTACATACTTAGTTCGACACTGAAGGACAGGACGCATCAGTTTACACAAAAGATTAGGCATTTTTCAGTAGGTAGAAAGAAAGTACTATGAGCAAAATCAACGATTCGTAACGTTTGAATCGATGCAGTCATATCTTAAACATTTGAATCGGGGACCGATGTGTATCGGTGAATTACATCCCTAGTAAATATGTGAACATATTCATTGTATGTTGTTACAATTGTTTCTTGTTCTAGACTTGAAATATTGGGCTCTGTCTTTTGACTCCATATCGAAGATTTTTTCTGTCATCAACATGAGGACCTTTTTGAATGTTGTGTGCCTGCGCCAGTTGTCGGAGCAACCAATCTGTGCTTCGCTTAGCCTAATTACTTAAACGAGAAGCAGCCGTTCTGGAACCAAGAAATCCCGGACTCCCTTATCAGGTTAAGAGAAGCCGGTTATGTTCAGGGAATCCTGAATTTGTTAAACCATCTTTCTGGAATACCCGCCAGGTGGCCTCAGCGCGCATAATCTGCAGCTGGATGCTTCTCATTGTTTGTGGTTGTTTGGGGTATATGTTTGGGGTTGTTTTAGGTTGTTTGGGGTACCTGTTTGGGGTACCAGTTTGGGGTTGTTTAGGGTACCTGTTTATGGTTGTTTGGGGTTGTTTGGGGTGATTAGTAGGACCCCATATTTCTGATCGGGCATCATGAAGACAGCGCTGGGCCCTCTGTACCTCTTTGGCGATGAGACGGCAGTCCACCTCGTTGTAGCTTTCTCGTATCTCTGCTACCGTGGTTAAAGTTGCTACAGCCGGGTTGATGCCAAATGAGATCCTCTCCTCCGGTACCAGCCTGAAAGGGAGGGGGTCTGTGCCAGAGCCTGGAGGAACACATAGAATTACAGAACTACATTGTGAGACACAAATTCTGGTCAAACTGACATTGGTAACACAACTGACTCAAATATGTTTCTGTGTTTCTGGTAACACAACTGACTCAAAATGGCTGGCATATAGTCAAGGTCATCATGAGATGATTCTGATACATTAGAAGGGGTCGTAGATGCTAAAGTTAAGAAAAATAATGCATTATACAGTATCTGCAAGCTTTAAGTAAATTGACTACATGGTCTTGAGTCCATGGCCCAGGTAATGATCAGACAAACACCTGTGTTGCGTAGAGCCAGGTAGTTTCCCAGGTAGGCAGTTCCCTGGTTGTAGATTACCGCTACAGCCCCTGGACTCAGCACTTCCTCAAACAGGTAGATGGGCCCAACGCGCCACACCAACGAAGCGTGCTGTTTCCATAGAGACGGCGTTCCAATGAAGGCACACACGTCAATCACCGCTGTGGGTTCCATGGAGACGTACTGACCCGGGAACGGTTGGATGTACAGCATCTGACAGCAAATCAGAACACATAGAGAGTTCTCTGAATTTTTACAGCACAGAGTGAGTAAGGGAGTAGACAGTGCTTCAACCAATGACATGAGCTACGATCATCTTTTAATGTAAAATGGATGAATTCACTCTCTCCTGCTCCAGTACCTTTGCTGCTCCCACCAGTTTCCCATTGAGGTGGGCCATGACCTTGCAGCTCTTCTTCACGTCCTTCGCCATGACAACGGCCAGATGGTGCCACTGACCTGGGGTCAGCTGACTGGAGCATTTGAACCTCAGAGAGCCTGGCAGGGGGCTGGGGGTCCGCACCTCTGGCTCCATCATATCTGGCAATCAATACATCAATCAATCAATACAGCAATCAATCAATCACAGAAGGAGTTGCAGTCCAGATCAAAGAGTAATCAACTAAAATGACAAAAATCCACCTTTTGCTAAATCTTTCTAAAATTAGGTCATTCAGAGCAATCGTAGACCCAATCCCAAATTGACCCCTAGACCACTTGTGGATATCTGAGAGGATTTGACAGATGTAAGTAATAATGGTAATCTCTCTTCCTTGCCTTGTCATAAAATAGGAGGAAGTTGTATCATAATGTTTATAACAATCAAATCCTTTCACATTTCCAAGTGCATAGGGCGTAGGGCAGGGGTCTCCAACCTTTTCTAGCATGAGAGCTACTTTTAAAAAATGTTGCGAGCTACCAATTTTATCACTTTCCAATAGGCACATTGTTCTCTTCTCCTCTAACCTGCAACTCATCCCTGGGTCCTTGGTGTACAAGAGATGTGCTTTCTGTCAATATACCTGGAAAAATTATGGTTGATAAACATTACTTGGCATGACAGGCCCCATAAAATTATATTTGGTATTTTCCCAAATTATCTTTTCTCTGTTGGATTTTTCCTGTTTTGGGATTTTTTAATATTACAAATATTCATAAAGAAACAACGAAAATTGATGTTCTGAGTCCATGTCAATGCTTAAATCACATCAGAAGACATTTATTAGGTCTGTAAAAAGTGTATAATTCCCCCTTAATTGCACATCTAGCAAGAGAGGAATGTGCCGGTCTAGAGATGTTTCTGCTGTTAGGCCTACTGCTGCAGCGCATGTCATGGCAGAGTTAGCAAAACAATGGCCACCCAATTGAAACAAAGAATAATGATTTATAGTTCTGTCAGGTAAGCCTACTTTGTAGTTAACATTTAACTGAGAAGGTTTTTGGGAAAAGTCTTTCTGTCTACTCTACCCACAAGACGTTATCATTAGCATCGCTAACTGGCTGCATATGGAATGATAGACAAACTCGCGCACCAAACAGACACAGAGGGGCAATACTGCTGGAAATTAATTGGCAGATATTGGCAGATATTAAGCCAATAGTAGCTAACCAGGGTCGGAAAATGTTAATGTGGCTTTGATTGGACAGTAGCCGGGAGCTTTATGTTTATGACAGTTTGTGATGGAAAAATGCATGTACTTTCAGAATTGATTGCGAGCTACTCATACGTGGACTGTGAGCTACTGGTAGCTTGCGATCTACATGCTGAATAACCCTGGCGTAGGGTCTAGAGCAATGTTCCCTCAAACTTTTTGGGGCACTGAGCAAATTTTAGGTCTTGTGAGCGGAAACTTGAACATTGTGAGAATTTTGTGCAACTTCCGGCGTGCGTTTACAGTGAACACTGAGGCTGTACCCTTACAGTTTTAGACAGTAGCCAATAGGCTATTGTGGCTATTTGAACATAATGGAGTTCTACCAACAAAACCAATGGAGCAAATCCCATAACATTCTCACATGGAAATAGCTTTTGATTTCTATAATATAGCCTACAGTAGCCTATATGTGACTAGTTTCAGGAAACTAGGCGTATGTCGCACATCACTACTTCACAGGAGCTGCATTTGAACGTAAACATTTATTTTTTATCAAAATGTGTTTTTTGGCAGAAATACCTTCTGGAATATGTGAACTTTCATGTGCCTTAATAACAAACTTGTATTCCATCCATAAATATGAATACAATTGTTACATTACGAGCCTAGTTGGTTTAGCCACGGAAAAAAAACAGGAACCTTCCCACTAGCCATGATTGGCTGAGACAATGAATGGGCTGGACTTGCCGGGAGATGAGTTTAGGTTGGTCTGCCATATAGGATGCTTTGGTCTATAACGTGAGCTGTTCAGTATGTGTTGACAGTCCTTTCTAACGCACCATAGCTAACGTTAAGTGTATGATCTGTGTAGTAATATTATTCTAATCAGAAAACCATTTGCATTGCTAGTTATAGCCTAATGTTAGCTAGCTAACATTGAACCTAGTTTGTTAGCTTTAGCTACCTGAAGATTCATACTACAGCTATGACAATGTTTGTATTGGTAGTAGTATGAGTTGGGATTGTGCCGGTTCATTGTTTAGCTAGCTAGCTACATGTCTAAACAAAAGACTCCACTTCGGCCAGATTATTACATGACCCGTCAAATTAGCCAGGTGTGTCTGGGGGTGATTACGGCCATCTATTGTATTTCATGAACATGTGTACATGTCTAGACAATAGTGACCCATCCACTTAGCTAGATGCGGCTGGGGGTGGTTATAGCATTTCCTTCACATGACCCATCAACTTAAACAAGTGTGTCGGGTAAGCGTCATCTAATAATGATAAACTATTTATAAACTATTTTTATCTGGAAACTTTCTGTTTTTGATATTGCTACTATGCAAGTAACCACTTCACCGTACCGTTTACACCTTCTGTATCCTGTGCATGTGACAAATAAACTTAAATTGTATTTGATATAGCGTGTGTTTACCACATGGCCTCATGTAAATCCTTAAAGAGATGTTTGGGGCTAAGGCTTAAGAGGGTGTGAATGATGCTGAATGGGTGTAGACAAAGAAGTGCTCTCCAGTAGGTGTACCAAACGTTCAAGGGCCATTTTCTCAAAAGTGGGGTTACAAGTTTATCAACTTTCAAAGCAGAATTACTTTCCCATTGTTCCTCAACTGCAGTGTATGATATACAATTTTCTAGCTCTGAGTCTCTACTTTTATCCAATGTAAAAAAAAAAAAAGGTGCTACATTAGACTGAATCGAGGCGGTTGGTCACATATTTTTTTACATTTTAGTCATTTAGCAGACGCTCTTATCCAGAGCAACTTACAGTTAGTGAGTGTGGTGTTCAATGCAGGCCTACATTGCATGAGACTTTTACAAACTTTTTTACATTATGAAGGGCTTGACATTAATTAATGACTTTTTACTTGGTCTGTAACACCATGGGCCAAATAGGTGACTGTAAATTGCATTGTATTGGGTTGTATGATGCAAGAAACCACTTTACAAAATACAATTAATTATTATAACCATACAAAGAACTAGACAATGTAGGCTACCCATCTGCCTATTGGCTTATTCACATATTTTGAAATGTAGCCTACACGTTTTGTGCTCTTTTAGGAAACAGTAATTCCCCATTGCTGATCTATAAAACTGGGCTAATAACTCGCTAACTAGCAAAGAATATCAACAAATGCACAGATGCGCAGCTCTGATCTGAACTGATCTGAAAAGCATGATTGAAAGACCGCTAGTGGGCTACCCCAGCCAATACAATTCTACTCCGTTGCGCTCTGGCTCTGCCTAAAACAAAATCAGACTCAATCTTGCAAAGTTAGATTTGTTTTGGTTTGTTGCATTGAAAAGCAGTTGATATAACGTTGATTCGATCACAGAAAAAACATTTATCTATATAGTGCAAACTAATGGTTCTGCGCGGCATGGCATTTCTTCTGAGTGGTAGCCCTTGAAGTGCTTGCACGCGCGCATCTTAGCGGGAACATTGTTCTAGAGCACGTGTTAAATTCATTCCATGGAGGGCTGAGTGTCTGCGGGTTTCTGCTCCTCCCTTGGACTTGATTGATGAATTGTCACTGATTAGTAAGGAACTCCCCTCACCTGGTTGTATGGGTCTTAATTGAAAGGAAACACCAAAAACCAGCACACACTAGGCCCTCCATGGAATGAGTTTGACACCCCTGATCTAGAGGTTGATTTGAGATTGGTGTATTTTTGAGTAAATAGCATATTGTGCCAAAGAAAGCATTACAGCACAGGTTTAGGTTATTCCAATGTCCCTTTAGCATGTCTTTACCCAGGAATGTGAATGGCTCCTCCTCGGTGGAGATGACCAAACATCCATCGCTGGCTGAGATGGAGACAGACAGACAGACGTACTGCTGTTCTGCACGGGACATATGGCGCACTACAGATAGCAGCCGGAGCGGGTGAGAATCACAGGCCGAACTGAACCTGCTGATCAGGAACCAGCAGGAATATGTCAGGCCTGCTGCCGGAGGGAAACCACGACAGTCTGGTTGAATGGAAGAGGAGGAGGAGAGAGGAGAGGGGACAAGCAGAGATAAAGTAAACATAGGTCATACAGCATTTTCAAAGCAAATCCAAGCAAACAAGTAAAATAGTTAAACATACAGTTGTTAAAAGTAAAAGGTAGTTGATCCAGTACTAGGTGAACTCCCTCCCCTCCTGTCTTACCTCCTCCTATTCCCCCTGTTGGGATGGAGTCAGCATTGACACCTTTCACTGTAGCCAGGGATGGTAGAAACAGACAGCTAAAAGCACACACACACACACAGACAGACATGCACACACACACAGAGACACACGTCAATGTCAAATTAACGGTGTGCAACATGACATTTCATATGACAATGACCATAGAAGTTGGCAAGACAGCACAAACAGATCTGGGATCAGGCAAATGAATCATTGGAATCCTATGGAAACCTACCAGAACCCATCCCACTTCTAATCTACCCAGTACAGTGGACTCACCCATAGCCGCTCTCACTCATATCAAACTCCACAAAGGCCGGAGAGGTGGAGACTCGGTGCGGTCGGAAGCTCCTTGGTGACGTCATGGAGACCAGGCTAATGATTTGGTGCAGGGGGAGGGGCTGGCCGACAGGAGAGTCAATAGGAGGCAAGGAGCTAAGCAGGCTAAAAGAGCGTTTAAATGTCTTCATGATGGAGCGAGTGGTGGTCTCACTGTCTGTAGAGCTGTCTGCCTCCTCTGGGCTTTGGCCTGCAGAATTAGATTAATTATACGATTACCTCTGTAGCTCAGCTGGTAGAGCACGGCGCTTGTAACGCCAAGATAGTGGGTTCGATCCCCGGGACCACCCATACACAAAAATGTATGCACGCATGACTGTAAGTCGCTTTGGATAAAAGCGTCTGCTAAATGGCATATTATTTATTATATTATTATTACAACCATGTTTATTTCATTAGTAATTACAGAATTACATGTAAGGACTACATACAGTATAGGCCTATAGTTAAAAGCTACACTTTTTGGAACACAGATGTGCAACATTTCAAATGCTGTCTGCTTTCGCTAGACCAGTGTTTCCCAAACCTCTCTTCGAGTACCCCTAGCCAGTCCACTTCTTTGATGCATTCTAGAACTAGAACAGCTGATTCAAATGGTAATCTAATCATCATGCCGTTATTAGTTGAATCAACAGTGCTAGTGCTGGACTCAAATTAAATGGTTAAAATCAGATAAAAGTTCTGTATCTTTACCCTTGGAGAGAGAAAGGGTGCATTGTGGGTTGGATTCTGGAGCAGAGGTGGCAGCAATTTTGTTAGCTTGGCACATCAGAGGATCACTAAGACACAGGAAACGCCTGTAGAAGAACGAAATAACAGGTTAGATAACATTCATCAAGCTTTGATTTTGGGGTGAACTAACCTTTTAAAATACAAAAAAGATTCCTCAACGGTGGGTAGTGAGATCAACACAGGGACAATGTTTTAAAACGTCTTGCATCAGAAAAGGAAATGTGTGTCAAGATAGTCCCTCCCCGTTTCAGTCAATTTTCTGCCATTTGGTGCCTAATTAACACACCCAAGCTTGGTGCTACGAAAAGCAGCTGACCTGAGGTCTATGTGTGAGATGGAGTGTGAGGAGATTTTCTCCAAGATGCGTGTGTCAGGCAGGTGTAGTGGGTGGTCCGGCCTGAGCAGGGTGCTTCGACAGTGGGTTAGTAGAGTGGACACCAAACCCCCCTCGCAGACAATCTGCCGGTTCTTCTCTGACTTTACCATCACCTGGAGGTGGTGGGCTACTGAGTACTGGACCTCCACTGACAGCTGGGAGAGAGGAGGAGTAATGAAGAATTGAACTGAACCAAATTGAGTCAAATTCAAATTAGATGATTCCTGCATATGACAGCAAAGCAGTCTTAGAAGATAGGAGCTATGACTAATCCAATTGAACTGAACTGAGTTGAATTACAATTAATTAATTTCTGCATAATATGAAAGAACAATACAGCGTGAATTAAGTCTAACTGAACTGAGTTGATTCCTGAATTGATTGATTACTGAATCGATTCCTACATATGACAGAGCAGTGTAGTCGGTCTGCTGATAGGTTACCTGTGGATCCTCTGCAGTAAAGACATGAGGCAGGAGAGTCATGATGACCCTGATGGCTCCAGGATGCAGTATGGTCTGGTCAGAGGTAAACCTGGACCCATAAACATACAGATACATAGTATCACATAGTTATAACATGACTATAATATGAAGCAGTCTGGCTTGGCCTCTGGTACATTGGATACGAGAGAAATTAACACTCATGCAACAATCTGGAATATACAGTGCATTCGGAAAGTATTCAGCCCCCTTGACCTTTTCCACATTTTGTTACGTTACAGCCTTATTTCAAAATTTATAGAAAAATACTTTTTTTCCCTTCATCAATCTACACACTTACCCCATAATGAGCAAGCAAAAACAGGTTTTGAGAAATGTTAGCACATTTATAAAAAATTAAAAAACTTAAATATCACATTGACATAAGTATTCAGACCATTTACTCAGTACTTTGTTGAAGCACCTTTGGCAGCGATTACAGACTCGAGTCTTCTTGGGTTTGACACTACAAGCTTGGCACATCTGTATTTGGGGAGTTTATCCCATTCTTCTCTGCAGATCCTCTCAAGCTCTTTAAGGTTCGATGGGGTGCGTCGCTACACAGCTACTTTCAGGCCTCTCCAGAGATGTTAGATCGGGTTCAAATCCGGGCTCTGGCTGGGCCACTCAAGGACATTAAGAGACTTGTCCCAAAGCCACTCCTGCGTTGTCTTGGCTGTGTGCTTAAGGTCATTGTCCTGTTGGGAGGTGAACGTTCGCCCCAGTCTGAGGTCCTGAGCGATCTGGAGCAGGTTTTCATCAAGGATCTCTCTGTACTTTGCTACGTTCATCTTTACCTCAATTCTGACTAGTCTCCCAGTCCCTGCTGCTGAAAAACATCCCCACAGCATGATGCTGCCACTATCATGTTTTGCCGTAGGGATGGTGCCAAGTTTCCTCCAGACGTAACGTTTGGCATTTAGGCCAAAGAGTTCAATCTTGGTTTCATCAGACCAGAGAATCTTGTTTCTCATGGTCTGAGAGTCCTTTAGGTGCCTTTTGGCAAACTCCAAGCGGGCTGTCATGTGCCTTTTACTGAGGAGTGGCTTCCGTCTGGCCACTCCACCATAAAGGCCTGATTGGTGGACTGCTGCAGATGGTTGTCCTTCTGGAAGGTTCTCCCATCTCCACAGAGGAACTCTGGAGCTCTGTCAGAGTGACCATCGGGTTCTTGGTCACCTCCCTGACCAAGGCCCTTCTCCCCTGATTGCTCAGCTTGGCCGGGCGGCCAGCTGTAGGAAGAGTCTCAGTTGTTCCAAATTTCTTCCATTTAAGAATGATGGAGACCACTGTGTTCTTGGGGACCTTCAATGCTGCAGACATTTTTTGGTACCCTTCCCCAGATCTGTGCCCCGACACAATCCTGTCTCGGAGCTCTACGGACAATCCCTTCGACCTCATAGCTTGGTTTCTGCTCTGACATGCACTGTCAACTTTGGGACCTTATAAAGACAGGTGTGTGCCTTTCCAAATCATGTCCAATCAATTGAATTTACCACAGGTGGACTCCAATCAAGTTGTAGAAACATCTCAAGGATGATCAATGGAAACAGGATGCACCTGAGCTCAATTTTGAGTCTCATAGCAAAGGGTCTGAATACTTATGTAAATAAGGTGTTTTATTATGTTGTTATTTTAATAAATTTGCAAAAAAATATAAAAACCTATTTTTGCAATGTCATTATGGGGTATTGTGTGTAGATTGATTAGGATTTATTTGAATGTATTCCATTTTAGAATAAGGCTGTAACATAACAATGTGGACAAAATCAAGGGGTCTGAATACTTGTTCTAGCAGTGTCTGAATCTTGGTATAGGAAGGCCACCAAAAATGCAGAAATGTCCATCCCGAACTACAACATTTTCCGTCTAGATAGAACTGCCAAAGGGGGTCGAGTTGCAATCTACTGTAGAGATAGCCTGCAGAGCTCTATCGTACTATCCAGGTCTGTGCCCAAACAGTTTGAGCTTCTACTTCTAAAAATCCACCTTTCCAGAAATAAGTCTCTCACTGTTGCCGCTTGCTACAGACCCCCCTCAGCCCCCAGTTGTGCCCTGGACACCATATGTGAATTGCTTGCCCCCCATCTATCCCCAGAGTTCGTACTGCTTGGTGACCTAAACTGGGATATGCTTAACACCCCGGCCGTCCTACAATCTAAACTAGATGCCCTCAATCTCACACAAATTATCAAGGAACCTACCAGGTACAACCCTATATCCATAAACATGGGCACCCTCATAGATATCATCCTGACTAATTTACCCTCTAAATACACCTCCGCTTTCTTCAACAAGGATGTCAGCGATCACTGCCTCATTGCCTGCGTCCGTAAAGGGGCCGCGGTCAAACGACCACCCCTCATCACTGTCAAACGCTCCCTAAAACACTTCAGCGAGCAGGCCTTTCTAATTGACCTGGCCCGGGTATCCTGGATGGATATTGATTTCATTCCGTCAGTAGAGGATGCCTGGATGTTCTCCAAAAGTGCTTTCCTCTCCATCTTAAATAAGCATGCCCCATTCAAAAAATTCAGAACTAAGAACAGATATAGCCCCTGGTTCTCCTCATACTTGACTGCCCTTGACCAGCACAAAAACATCCTGTGGCGTACTGCATTAGCATCGAACAGCCCTGCGATATGCAACTTTTCAGGGAAGTCAGGAACCAATATACACAATCAGTTAGGAAAGCAAAGGCTAGCTTTTTCAAACAGAAATGTGCATCCTGTAGCACTAACTCCAAAAGGTTTTGGGACACTATAAAGTCCATGGAGAATAAGTGCACCTCCTCCCAGTTACCCACTGCACTGAGGCTAGGAAACACTGTCACCACCGATTAAATCTACGATAATCGAGAATTTCAATAAGCATTTTGCTACGGTTGGCCATGCTTTCCACCTGGCTACCCCTACCCCGGCCACCAGCTCTGCACCCTCTGCTGCAACTTGCCCATGCCCTCCCCGCTTCTCCTTCACCCAAATTCAGATAGCTGATATCCTGAAAGAGCTGCTAAATCTGGACCCCTACAAATCAGCTGGGCTAGACAATCTGGACCCTTTCTTTCTTAAATTAGCCACCAAAATTGTTGCAACCCCTATTACTAGCCTGTTCAACCTCTCTTTCGTATCGTCTGATATCCCCAGAGATTGGAAAGCTGCCGCGGTCATCCCCCTCTTCAAAGGGGGTGACACTCTAGATCCAAACTGTTACAGACATATATCCATCCTGCCCTGCCTTTCGAAAGTATTTGAAAGCCAAGTTAACAAACAGATCACCGACCATTTCGAATCCCACCGTACCTTCTCCGCTATGTAATCTGGTTTCCGAGCTGGTCATGGGTGCACCTCAGCCACGCTCAAGGTCCTAAACGATATAATAACCGCGATTGATAAAAGACAGTACTGTGCAGCCGTCTTCATCGACCTGGCCAAGGCTTTTGACTCTGTGATAAAGAAATGTGTGAGTAAGATATGACTAAAATGTCACACCCTCAGTTAAACTAATAATGTATGACTAATTAGTAGACTAGAGCTTAGAGAGTTAATCAAATGTGTTTATATCACAGCAACAGAGTATTTGTGTCTTGTAATTAGGCAAGCAGAAGTGCAAAACGATTGAAACCAATAACAGGAGACTGGTTCCCAAAACACACAGGGAAAGGGGAGTGAAAAAAGGCTTGCAGGATATTGTGAGGACGGCGATAACTCAGCCTACCCGAGCAAGGAGTAGACTATGATAAGAATGTGTGTGTGTGTGTGTGTGTGTGTATGTGTGTATGTGTGACCTGATGGTCAGGAGAGCAGAGGAAAATCACGTGAGCTTACAAGATGCGTACAGTGGAAAAATACAGCCCGCCTACAGCGGGGTGGGATTTTTCCTCTGACGTGTGCGTATAAAAAGATTGTACGACCATTTTGTTGCAGAGCGCTCTCAATGAATAAACATGCTGACCATTGCAGTATTGGGTCTTTGTTTAATATATTCAAACTAAGAGATTTACAACCTTTTGCGAATTATTCAAAAATTTAAGAAGTAGTTGACTTCAACCATTGAGATAACAAAATTCTCGTGACACTCTGTCAATCACCGCATTCTTATTGGCAGACTAAATAGCCTTGGTTTCTCAAATGACTGCCTCGCATGGTTCACCAACTACTTCTCAGATAGAATTCAATGTGTCAAATTGGAGGGCCTGTTGTCTGGACCTCTGGCAGTCTATATGGGGGTGCCACAGGGTTCAATTCTCGGGCCGACTCTATTCTCTGTGTGTATCAATTATGTCGCTCTTGCTGCTGGTGACTCTCAGATCCACCTCTACGCAGACGACACCATTTTGTATACATCTGGCCCTTCATTGGACACTGTTTTAACAAACCTCCAAACGAGCTTCATTGCCATACAACACTCCTTCCGTGGCCTCCAACTGCTCTTAAATGCTAGTAAAACTAAATTCATGCTCTTCAATCGAACGCTGCTTGCACCCGCCCGGCCGACTAGAATCACTACTCTCGGCGGGTCTGACTTAGAATATGTGGACATCTACAAATACCTAGGTGTCTGGTTAGACCGTAAACTTAAAGTTAAATCTAGAATCGGCTTCCTATTTCGCAACAAAGCCTCCTTCACTCATGCTGCTAAACATGCCCTCGTAAAACTGACTATCCTACCGATCCTTGACTTCGGCGATGTCATTTACAAAATAGCTTCCAACACTCTACTCAGCAAATTGGATGTAGTCTATCACAGTGCTATCCGTTTTGTCACCAAAGCCCCATATACTACCCACCATTGTGACCTGTACGCTCTCGTTGGCTGGCCCTCACTACATATTCGTCGCCAAACCCACTGGCTCCAGGTCATCTATAAATCACTTCTTGGCAAATCCCCGCCTTATCTTAGATCATTGATCACCATAGCAACACCCACCCGTAGTATGCGTTCCAGCAGGTTTATCTCACTGGTCATCCCCAAAGCCAACACCTCCTTTGGCCGCCATTCCTTCCAGTTCTCTGCTGCAAATGACTGGATCGAACTGCAAAAATCTCTGAAGCTGGAGACACTTATCTCCCTCACTAACTTTAAGCATCAGTTGTCAGAGCAGCTTACCGATCACTGCACCTGTACACAGCCCATCTGTAATTAGCCCACCCAACTATCTCATCCCCATATTGTTATTTACATGTATTTATTTTGCTCATTTGCACCCCAGTATCTCTATTTGCACATCATCTTCTGCACATCTATCACTCCAGTGTTAATAATAAATTGTAATTATTTTGCACTATGGCCTATTTATTGCCTTACCTCCATAACTTACTACATTTGCACACACTGTATATAGATTTTCTATTGTGTTATTGACTGTATGTTTTGTTTATTCCATATGTAACTCTGGGTTGTTGTTTTTATCGCACTGCTTTGCTTTATCTTGGCCAGGTCGCAGTTGTAAATTAGAACTTGTTCTCAACTGGCTTACCTGGTTAAATAAAGGTTAAATAAAAAATCAAGAAAAAAAACAAGAAACAACTGTTCCACCTGTAGTTAGTCTCAGAGCAGACAACGGAGACGCTGTGGGCTGCAGGTCTGGATCCCCCCTGTAGCTCCTCCTCTGGAGTCTGTGAAGTCGGTGGGGTTGGTGACACAGTCTGCAGCCTCTCTCCTCCTCCATCACCACCCCACTGGGTCTCCCCCTCTCCCCCCTCCTCTCTCTTCTCTCCCACATGTCCTGCTGTCTTCTCAAGAGCAGCGAAGGTCCCTGTAGCAAACTGGTCCAGGTAGGAGAGGAGCTTGATACAGGTCTGTAAAGGGCGAGGCAGGGGTGGCTTGGAGGTGGAAGAGAGGGAGGTGTGCGCTGGGGTCTCAGACAGCTCCAAAAACTGGTGGAAGTTCCTCCCAAGGAAATGATGGTCTTCCGTTCTTCTCTGACCCCCTCTCTGGCCCAGGCCCCTACTCATCATACCCCCAGCGTGGCCCTCCATCCCCTCTGTCGCCTCCTGGCCGTCAGTCTGGAAACAACCCAGCTGTAGTAAGGCTTCAGCCAGCCTCTCGTAGAACCCTTCAACCTGGAACGAATTAATGAATTATTTTCATGTCTCGTCACATTTATAGAACCCATCCTTTGGCTTACGAGGTTATTGGACACCTCATTTGAATGAATGACATACCTGGAACTGGTGTGAGTTGACAGGGTGTACGTGGACAGCCAGGGCGAGGGTGTGTAGGGTGAGGAAGAGGAGGTCTAGTATCCCCTGCTGCCCTATGGCACCCCACACCCCACACCCACCCTGAGGGGGGTCACCCAGAGCCCCCTCCATGTCCACCACCAGGGACAGCAGGCCGGTGAAGCCCCCCGCACGTCGAAACGCCCCCCAACTGTTAGGGCTCTCCAGAACCTTCAGAACTGACTGGAGAACAGAGGAAAGCGAGAGTTCAGTTACAGAAGATTTACACACACACGTCTGGCTCCATTTGTGCTTTAGTCCTCTCTGACTATCTAACAAACAAGGTAGAGGATGTTACATTATACAGTTCTATGGATGAGGCAGATTGAGAAAGTCCGGTTAACACATTTACTGAGAAGATAATATGGCAAGATAACAGTCATAGATCGAGGTCCTTCAACTTGACCAATACAGAATTAACCCTTTACAGGACAGCACAAACAGAATAGCCTGGACCAAACTATTCAGTTCACACACATTATTCTCTTTGAGATGTTTGAGATGTATGAGGTTTGGGAGCATGTAGTCACAGAGGCATCGGTGACCAACGGCTAGATATGTACAATGCTTAGTGAAAGTCTACACACCCCTTGCACAGCTAGCTGCGGAGTGAGCTTACGGGTACATTCTTAACTCTGTTACATTCACACCCCAGAGTTAATACTTAGTGGAAGCACCTTTGGCAGCAACTACAGCTGTGAATCATTTTGAATAAGATTCTACCAACTTTGCACAACTCTTAGGCCAACATATATTAATTGTTTTTGTCAAAAATTACTCAAGCTCAGTAAATTTATTTGGGAATCATTGATGGACAGTAATTTTCAAACCTTGTCTTTGATTTTCAAGCAGACTCAAGTAAGGACTGAGACTAGACCACTCAGGAACACTCAACACCTCTTGGAGAGTCATTGTATTTGCTGCCAAATGTGCTTCCACCAAGTATAAACTATGGGGTGTGAGGACACGCAATCAAGACATCATTTTTTGGGGGGGATCCCTTTTTAGATTTATTTTTAAGGTAGCAAAATGTGAAAACTGTGCAAGGGGTGTGTAGACTTTCACTAAATCAAATCAAAGTGTATTTGTCACATGCGCCGAATACAACAGGTGTAGACCTTACAGTGAAATGCTTACTTACAATCCCTTAACCAACAACGCAGTTTTAAGAAAAATAAGTGTTAAGTAAAAAATAGATTAGTAAAAAATAAACAAATAAAAAGAAATAACAAATAATTAAAGAGTAAAATAACAGTCGTGAGGCTATATACAGGGGGTACCGGTACAGAGTCACTGTATAAACAGTTTGAGTAATAAAGTATCATGCATTCAATTGCCTATCGTTGTTCTGTTCAGTCAATTAAAACAAACAGGTCATGAAGGGATGAAAAATAGTCCCAACATAAATAAATAACAAAATCATAAATTATTTGGGGTAACCGTTGTTGAGGACTAACCTAAATGTGATTAGTTTAATCTAATTTAGTGGTCTAATCCATCAGGTAGGTAATGTGTGTGGCAGAACGCAGGGAGAAATGTGATTAACAAGAACTAGAGTAATCACAATGGCTCTCACCACACACCAAACCAGGTCACACTGAATCTGATTGCCACCTGCTTTAACCAAGTTAACACACATAGACACACTCGCACACACACTCTCGTGCTCACACACACAGACACACACACACTCGTATACAAATATACACACTCGCACACACACCAAACCCCCCACCACACACACACATATACAGTTGATAAACTTGTTAACAAACTATAGTTTTGGCAAGTCGGTTAGGACATCTACTTTGTGCATGACACAAGTAATTTTTCTAACAATTGTTTACAGACAAATTATTTAACTTATAATTCACTGTATCACAATTCCAGCGGGTCAGAAGTTTACATACACTAAGTTGACTGTGCCTTTAAACAGCTTTGAAAATTCCAGAAAATGATGTCATGGCTTTAGAAGCTTCTGATAGGCTAATTGACATCATTTGAGTCAATTGGAGGTGTACCTGTGGATGTATTTCAAGGCCTACCTTCAAACTCAGTGCCTCTTTGCTTGACATCATGGGAAAATCAAAACAAATCGACCAAGACCTCAGAAAAACAATTGTAGACCTCCACAAGTCTGGTTCATTGTACGCAAGTATAAACACCATGGGACCACGCAGCCATCATACCGCTCAGGAAGGAGACACCTTCTGTCTCCTAAAGATGAACATACTTTGGTGTGAAAAGTGCAAATCAATCCCATGACAACAGCAAAGGACCTTGTGAAGATGCTGGAGGAAACAGGTACAAAAGTATCTATATCCACAGTAAAACGAGTCCTATATCGACATAACCTGAAAGGCCACTCAGCAAGGAAGAAGCCATTGCTCCAAAACCGCCATAAAAAGCCAGACTACGGTTTGCAACTGCACATGGGGACAAAGATCTTACTTTTTGGAGAAATGTCCTCTGGTCTGATGAAACAAAAATAGAACTGTTTGGCAATAATGACCATCGTTATGTTTGGAGGAAAAAGGGGAAGGCTTGCAAGCCGAAGAACACCATCCCAACCGTGAAGCGCGGGGGTGGCAGCATCATGCTGTGGGGGTGCTTTGCTGCAGGAGGGACTGGTGCAATTCACAAAATAGATGGCATCATGAGGAAGGAAAATGATGTGGATATATTGAAGCAACATCTCAAGACATCAGTCAGGAAGTTAAAGCTTGGTCGCAAATGGGTCTTCCAAATGGACAATGACCCCAATCATACTTCCAAAGTTGTGGCAAAATGGCTTAAGGACAACAAAGTCAAGGTATTGGAGTGGCCATCACAAAGCCCTGACCTCAATCCTATTGAAAATTTGTGGGCAGAACTGAAAAAGCGTGTGCGAGCAAGGAGGCCTACAAACCTGACTCCGTTACACCAGCTCTGTCAGGAGGAATGGGCCAAAATTCACCCAACTTATTGTGGGAAGTACCTGAAACGTTTGACCCAAGTTAAACAATTTAAATGCAATGCTACCAAATACTAATTGAGTGTATGTAAACTTCTGACCCACTGGGAATGTGATGAAAGAAATAACAGCTGAACTAAATCATTATCTCTACTATTATTCTGACATTTCACATTCTTAAAATAAAGTGGTGATCCTAACTGACCTAAAACAGGGAATTTTTACTAGGATTAAATGTCAGGATTTGTGAAAAACAGAGTTTAAATGTATTTGGCTAAGGTGTATGTAGACTTCCGACTTCAACTGTATATATATAGTCTGCGAGTTAGTACCCCTCTCTTTCTGATCTATAAAAATGGACACGTACAGTAAGTCGCTAACTCACTTAGACCTAATCAGGTTTATCAGCCATTCTCTGATGTGATAGAGGTCCTAATCTTCAGAGAGCTACAGCACAGGGTTGGAGGGGTAATCAAATAGCTCCCCGGCTAACAGCTATACCTGTATCAGCTAATCAATCTGCGTTCGTCTATAATGCAATAAGGCTCCTGAGGGATGTGATAACAAATTCACTGCCTTATTATGTTTTAAACATGTCGAGACCCTTACTTTTTAGGGTTTAGTCGAGACCCTCACTTGTTTCTGTTGGCTATCGTTTCTCCTCATGCTTTAGCAGAATGTGTTTGTGACAACAATCCATAAAACATTAGCGATCAATGTGTGTGTGTGTGTACCTGCAGCAGGTCTTGTTTGAGCCCCAGCTCCTGTTGTGTAGAGGAACAGAGAGCTCCTATAGCCGTAGACATAAACTCATCAGGGTTGATCTCTGACAGCTGCTCCAGGATGCTGAGGGTTGGTCCTCTGTACTGCTCCTCATCTAGAAATATCTTTATGTAGGGAACCATCCCAAGGTCACGGACTGACACTGAGAGAGAGAGGGGGAGAGAGAGAGAGAGAGCAAGAGAGCGGGGGAGGGATGGAGAGAGTTTCGGGATGTGTGTACCTGATAGATCATAGCATTTCTTTGGATAGACGCAGGTATAAAAGCGAGGGGAGACAGATGAGAGTGGAATACAGAGAGGAAAGTGGCTAGTGGTGGACCAAGGGATCGAACCAGTGCCTTTGGGGGCAATGTTGATTGCACAACCGCTAGACCAGGTTCCGACACTTACCTGTGTTTCTGATGGAGCGTAGGGTGAGGGCAGCCACTACTCTGAGCATGCTGGTGGTAAGAGCGCTCTCATTGTCCTCTTCAGCTGACTGATAGTGGGGACCTGACAGAGAGAGAAGAGATCACTGTGAGGAAGAGTGAAAGGCTCTATAGGCTCTATATAAGACTCTATATATGTGGTAACATCATTGTTACAATTGTATACACGTACCTGCTCCTCTAGCCTTCCTGAGTATCTTGGCCCTCCGGCGTAGTTCTCCAAGCAGAAGTTCCAACAGACCTCCATCACTGAGAACCTCCGCTAGCAGACCACTACGCACTATCAACCTGAAGAGGAATAGAAGAGATTTTATAGATTTTAAAGTAAACTGAAATCCAATAAAATCTGATTAGTCACATGCGTCATAAACAACTGGTGTAGACTAACAGTGAAAAGCTTACTTACGGACCCTTCCCAACAATGCAGAGAGAAAAAAATAGAAATAATAGAAAAATAATTACACAAGGAATAAATACACAATGAGTAACTGGATATACAGTGCATTCGGAAAGTATTCAGACCCCTTGACTTTTTCCACACTTTGTTACGTTACAGCCTTACTGTCACGTCCTATGCCCACTCCCCCTCTCCGACGCTCGATGTCGCCGGTCTACTAACCACCGGCCCTGACAACCCATCTTTACGCACACCTGCGTCTCATCATCAGTCACACCTGGACTTCATTACTCCCTGATTACTTACCCTTTATATAGCACTCTTTTGTTATCAGTTATCAGGCAGTATTGGTTATGTTTCCTTGTCAGATGTTTCTCTTGTTTTGTATCGTTCTATGTTCAATCATATTAAACTCACTAACTGCACCTGCTTCCTGACTCACTGCATCAACGTTACAGAATACTGCCACCCAGATGGTCAGCGAACAGAGACACCTACTTCGCCAACACTACGACCAGCTGGCACAACTGGGGACGGCTATGGATGAGGTCCTCCACGTTCTTCAACGTCTCGGTATTTCCTGAGGGGCATCAACTCCAACAAGCTGAGGATTCTCTACCCCAAGTCGAGCCAGCACTCCAGCCCATCCAACAGTCCGTCCAGGTCAGCAATGCCCATTTGTCCCTCCCGGACAAATATGACGGGTCTCCCTCCAAATGCCGTGGCTTCCTACTCCATTGCTCCCTCTCTTTCACTCATCAGATGGGAGTCTCCACCACGGAGAGGTCCAAGGTTGCCACGGTTACTTCCCTGCTGACCGGATGGGCGTTGGAGTGGGCTACGGCCGTCTGGGAGAGAGGAGAGGAGGAGATGGGTTCCTATGACGGGTTCATGGCTCTGTTCAGGGAGGTCTTCTACCATCCACTGGAGGGCAGAGAGGGGGGTGAGCGCCTACTCCAACTACGGCAGGATATCCAGACCACAGCGGAGTACACGCTCACCTTTCGGACAGTGGCAGCATCCAGCGGATGGAACAAGCCGGCGCTGTGCACCCTATTCAGAAGAGGATTGTGCAAAGAGGTCCAGACGGAGTTGGCGTACCGAGATGACAGTCTAACCTTGGACACACTCATCGCGATGGCCATCCATCTGGATAACCTTCTTCGGGAGCGTCGGCACCCCCATCGCCTCTCTCCCTCCTTCGTTGACCGTTCTGAGTCAGAGCCTGAACCCATGGAGGTAGAGGCCACACGCCTCCCTGCGGCTGAGCGACGCCGTCGGAGACAGTTAGGGCTCTGTCCCTATTGCGGACAGGAGGGGCACCAGCTTCAATGGTGTTCGGTACGTCCCAACCCGGAATGCACGAGAGCAGAGGGACGGCCCCGTGATCATCCGTCTCCTGGGTTAGGCGTGAGTACTCCATCATCACTTTCCGCCAAAACGTTATTAGTATCGATTTCACTAGCTGGCTGTCCCTCATCTATTGTTTCTGCAGATCTAGTGGATTCCAGTGCCGCAGAGAATTTTATTGACCAGGCCCTTGCCTCCTCCCTGTACATCACCTCATACCCGCTCTCCTCTCCGTTTCTGGTCCAAGTGTTGGATATGCGACCATTGGGATAAGGCACTATTACGCACATCACAGCTCCAATCACCCTCACAGTGGGACCCAAGCACCAGGAAAGCCTTTCCTTCCTCACCACCTCCGCACCCATGCACAAAGTCATCCTTGGCCTCCCGTGGCTCCAACTCCATAATCCCACCATCTCCTGGTCAGAGAAGAAGATTACTGCCTGGGGACCAGGATGTCGGCGGACCTGCTTTCTCGCACCCTGTGATTCCCACATCGGTGGAGGGCCCTGTGAGTGTCGGTCGCCCCATCAATCGGCCTCCCGTATCGTTGGCCCCATGTTTTGGGACATAGATGTGGACATCAACCAGGCTCTGGAGAGAGAACTACGTCCCCACGGGGGTCAGAGATCGGTTGCTGACCTGGGCACACACATCCCTCGCCGCTGGACACCCAGGTATTAACCGCACCACTCAATCCCTTTCTGGGACATACTGGTGGCTAACTTTGGCGCAGGACGTTGCACACTATGTCAACTCATGTTCAGTATGTACTTCATCTAAATCTCCCCTGCACGCTCCAGCAGAAAAACTAATTCCCTTTCCCGTGCCGCAGCATCGCTGGTCTCATCTAGCCATTGATTTCGTCACTGATCTCCCCTCCTCTGATAGGTTCACCACGATTTTGGTGGTTCTGGACAGATTCTCAAAATCATGCCGTTTCCTCCCTCTCTCTGGTCTCCCTACCGCTCTCCAGGTTGCTGAGACACTGTTCTAGCAGGTCTTCTGGGACTATGGCCTTCCGGAGGATATCGTCTCCAATCGTGGCCCCCAATTCACATCACGTGTATGGAAGGCTTTCATGGAGAAGCTGGGGGTCACGGTCAGCCTCACCTCCGGGAACTGGCCTCAATCTAACGGGCAGGTGGAGAGGATGAACCAGGAGCTGGGGAAGTTCCTGAGGAGTCACTGCCAGGACCGACAGGGGGAGTGGGCCCGATTCCTTCCTTGGGCTGAATACGCCCAGAATTCATTGCGACACTCCTACACCGAGCTGACTCCCTTCCAGTGTGTTCTGGGTTATCAGCCGGCCATGGCTCCGTGGACTCTGAGCCAGACCGAAGCTCCTGCGGTGGATGAGTTGTTCAGCCGCGCAGAAGAGGTATGGAACGATGCCCATGTGAGACTCCAGTCCGCCATCCGTCGTCAGAAAGAGTAGGCGGATCACCACCGCAGTGAGGCTCCCATGTTCCATCCTGGTGATCGCGTCTGGCTCTCCACCAGGAACCTCCCACTCCGCCTACCCTGTAAGAAGCTGAGTCCCCGGTTTGTGGGGCCGTTCAAGGTCCTCCGGAAGGTCAACAAGGTAATTTACAGATTACAACTCCCCACTAACTACCACTAACTACCGGATCTCACCATCTTTTCATGTTTCCCTCATCAGGCCGATGGATCCTGGTCACCTGGCTCATGCCATCCCCTCATATTGAACTCACTAACTGCAACTGCTTCCTGACTCCCTGTGTCGACGTTACTAAAATGGATTAAATCATTTTTTTCCCTCATCAATCTACACACAATACCCCATAATGACAAAGCAGGGTACCAAAACATTTCTGCAGCAATGAAGGTCCCCAAGAACACGGTGGCCTCCATCATTCTTAAATGGAAGAAGTTTGGAACCACCAAGACTCTTCCAAGAGCTGGCATACTGGCCAAACTGACCAATCGGGGGAGAAGGGACTTCGTCAAGGAGGTGACCAAGTACCCGATGGTTACTCTGACAGAGCTCCAGAGGTGCTCTGTGGAGATGGGAGAACCTTCCAGAAGGACAACCATTTCTGCAGCACTCCACCAATCAGGCCTTTATGGTAGAGTGGCCAGACGGAAGCCACTCCTCAGTAAAAAGGCACATGACAGCCTGCTTGGAGTTTGCCAAAAGGCACCTAAAGGACTCTCAGACCATGAGAAACAAGTCTCTAGTCTGATGAATCCAAGTTTGAAGAAACCTGGCACCATCCCTACGGTGAAGCATGGTGGTGACGGCATCATGCTGTGGGGTTGTTTTTCAGCGGAGACTAGTCAGGATCGAGGGAAAGATTAACAGAGCAAAGTAAAGAGATCCTTGATGAAAACCTGCTCCAGAGTGATCAGGACCTCAGACTGGGACGACAGTTCACCTTCCAACAGGACAACGACCCTAAGCACACATTCAAGACAACACAGGAGAGGCTTCGGGACAAGTCTCTGAATGTACTTGAGTGGCCCAGCCAGAGCCTGGACTTGAACCCGATCTAACATCTCTGGATAGACCTGAAAATAGCTGTGCATCGACACTCCCCATCCAACCTGACAGAGCTTGAGAGGATCTGCAGAGAAGAATGGAAGAAGCTTCTCAAATAAAGGTGTGCCAAGCTTTTAGCATCATACCCAAGAAGACTCGAGGCTGTAATCGCTAGCAAAGGTGCTTCAACAAAGTACTGAATAAAGTGTCTGAATAGTTACGTAAATGTGTTTTTTTTTTGGTAAAATTGTTTTTTAGCAAACATTTCTAAAAACCTGCTTTTGTTTTGTCATTATGGGGTATTGTATGTAGATTGATGAGAAAAACAACTATTTAAAACAAGGCTGTAACAAAATGTGGAAAAAGTCAAGGGGTCTGAATACTTTCTGAATGCACTGTATTGTGTAAAAAAGTGCTAGAAATATAGTTTGTTAGGTACACCACCCCATTCACTAAAATGGCTTACTCCTACAGACAGTGAGTCACATGGCCATGGCTTGCTATATAAAGCAGGCAGACAGGCATCAAGGCATTCAGTTACTGTTCGATTGAACGTTAAAATGAGCAAAATGAGTGACCTAAGTGACTTTGAGCATGGTATGATCGCCCGTGCCAGGCGCACCGGTTCCAGTATCTCAGAAACGTCTGGCCTCCTGGACTTTTCATGCACGACAGTGTCTAGGGTTTACCGAGAATGGTGCAACAAACAAAAAACATCCAGTCAGCGGCAGTCCTGTGGGCGAAAACAGATTGTTGATGAGAGAGGTCGAAGGAGAATGGCAAGACTCATGCAAGCTAACAGGCGGGCCACAAACAGGCAAATAACAGCGCAGTACAACAGTGGTGTGCAGAACGGCATCTCGGAACGCACAACTCATCGGTCCTTGTCACGGATGGGCTATTACAGCAGACGACCACACCAGGTTTCACTCCTATCAGCTAAAAACAAGAAGAAGCGGCTCCAGTGGGCACGCGATCACCAACACTGGACAATTGAGGAGTGGAAAATCATTGCCAGGTCCGACGAATCCTGGTTCCTGTTGCGTCATGCTGATGGCAGAGTCAGGATTTGACGTAAGCAGCATGAGTCCATGGCCCCATCCTGCCTGGTGTCAACGGTACAGGCTGGTGGGCGTAATGATGTGGGGAATGCACACGTTAGGTCCCTTGATACCAATTGAGCAACGTTTGAACGCCACAACTTGTAGAATCCACGCCCGAAGAATTCAGGCTGTTCTGGAGACAAAGGGGGGTCTGACCCGGCACTAGATGGGTGTACCTAATAAACTGGCCACTGAGTGTATATTGTATCATCCCAGTCATAGAGTCATTTATAAAATAATACATTTGTCTTATGCTGGGGACGAATCCAATTTAACCTCTGGAGATCAATAAAGTTTATTCCTTAATTTAAACCTGTGGAAGCAGCCGAGGGCAGCCACTCCAAACTGTGCCCCTCCGGCCACGGCCCCTGCCCAGTCCTGCTTCAGCACAGCCTGCACCGCACGCATAGCCTCGTGGGGGATGTAGTTAAGATGGAACGCCACCTGGACAGACACATTAACGGGATCGTTCAGTCAATAGTGGTGAATCAACAGATAAGCATTTCACCAAATTATCAATTGCTGAATTAATTAAACATAATGGACATATGGAGTCATGGATGGAGAACTATAAATGTAGAGCTTGTTAAGGGGATAGCTTTCTTGAATGACTGGACATTGACAGAATCTGTTACGGATTTTTTGTGTATGTACGTAACAAGTGTAGATATCTTGTGTGCATGCAAGTGTGTGTGTGCTTGTGTGCGCGCGTGTGTGTGTATGTGCCTGCTTGCCCGCACGTGCATGTGTCACTCAACCCACCATCTCTAACATGGAGAAGAACAGTCTGTGTACAGGAGGCGGTTTCTTCGAAACACACTGAGCTAGCTGAGCCAGCGATTGAACAGTCCACTCTAACAGGAAGAAGTTGGCCCTGTTCCATGACCACACAGTCCTGATGGTGCTTAGGATCTGGCTGCAGAAAACACAGTCCTCCGACCGCTGGAAGGAACCCTGGAGCAAACGGAATGCTGATAGGTTCCTTACCGCAGAGCCTGGAAGGACAGGGGTTAAAGATTAGTGAAAAAAGGATACATTATTGCGGGAATCTCAGTTGTACTAAGTGCCTTAATCCTCTCATCAGCTCCTTCCTGTAATCTGCTCAGAACTGAGAACACATCATAGGCAAATATTTTTGTGCAGACCCTCTGCAGTGCATCTTATGACACAAGGAGACAAAGCCTGAAGCAGATGGTTAACTAGGCTCAGCTAGAGACAGAGATGTAAAAGTGTAATAAGCTAGGAGCAGTGTTTCCCCTATCTAGCAGAGGAGAGACAGAAACTAGAAATAGGTTCAGTCAAAGAGGCTTTGTTTCGCATAGCAAAACACTGGCTGGGCTGGTCAGTTATAGTGTCTATGACCAATATCCCTACCTGGAAAAATATGTTTGTTTTGTGTTTGATGTTGACTTTGAGAAGGGGACCAGAAATACATTCTCATGCAGCTGACAAAGTAATATCAATGTGAAAATAATATTATGGCATACTCAGAGGTCAATTTAAGCAAAGTTATGTTTTAGTTAAGGAACCATTTATCATATTTTGCTCAGGCAAGGTCAGAGAGTCAATTCCATAGAGGAATGATGGTTGAACCACAAACAACCTACAACCTAAACAGGAGAAAATAACCAAGGGAATCGCGTTACGCTCACATAGATTGATAGAAAACAAATATGGTAAGTTGCATAAAAACATTGGGAAAACATAATTATCCGCACTGATAAAGTTTGGAAGCACAGCCTTGTCAGAATATTCCGAGATGGTCTTAGATTTAGGAGCGGGAACGTGGATATGTTTGTGGTAAATAAATATATAAGTGGTTTGTAATAAGATTCATTTTCACCTGTAATGAAAATCACATCACAGACAAATAAGATCATCCTAAAACACTCGTCTCAACGCTGGTGAAAGAGGTGCTCCTGTAGGTGATAGTGGGGCTCTGTATGTGTCTGTGTGTGTGTGCGCGCGCACACACACATGGAGGTATCTGTGTGTGTGTGCACGTGATAGATGGGTAGCCTCTGTGCGGTGGTGTTTTATGAATGCAGTGTGTCTGTTAACAGAGTTAGGACAGCAGACTTCACTTCATCATCTTAAACATAATCACCTCATGGCTCCTGTTAACCTGAGAGGTGGGGCAAGGGAGGGGAGAGGGGGACTGTAGGGAGAGGTGCAGGGGGCTGTTTGGGGAGTACAAGGGAAGGGTGCGGGAAGGGGTAGAGGGGTGGGAGATACACAAGGTTTCCCAGTGTCCCACCTCCATTTGTTCTTAAAGTGTGGGGGAAAGGGAGGCGGGAGGGGGGAGAATAGAAGGAAGTGTTTTCTTACCTGTGGTGAGTGAGGGGTCAAACTTGAAGCCAGGTGGCTGAGGGTTTGTGACACAGAGAGCAACCTTCAGCTCTGACCTCCCAAACAGACACAAAGATGCTAGCAAAGACAACAGGTCCTCTACTGGGCCAAACTCGTCCGCAGGCACACCCTCCTCACACCTACCATTGGGAAAATTTGGGAATTAATGGTATAGAGAGAGGGTGAAAGAAACACAGTCAAGGGTCTAGATGTAAAGTGAAAGAGAAAATATTATTTGTAGCCATATATCTGTAAGCAGACAAACTGCAGAGACAGAAATAGCATTTTGTTGTGGGCAGAATTGGCTTTAACCCAAAAAGACATCAAATTACATTAAGTCTGTTGCACACAACTTTATTCCTGGAAGCCTTATTTCCAAGAAATCTGGATAGGTTCCCCTACTGATGCTTTCATGAAAGACAGATGTTTTCAGTCTGTCCCTCTCTCTCCCTCCCCCTCTTGATACTGAAAAACATTATCTCTCTCCCACCCTCAACCACTCCCTTTCTCTCCCTCACCATCATCCTTCCTCACCCTCTCTCCCTCCCTCAATTCCCTTCCCCCCCCATCTCCCTCTCTCTAACTTACCGGGTCATGATGGCCTGTAAGACAGTGTATCCATCGTTATTTTCAAGCTCGGTGAACAGAGCAGGGTTGAGCTGGTAGGAGTCTCTGATGAAGCTAAACACTGTGACAGCCACCTCAGCTAGGACTGGAGCTGGGGCACGATCACTGATTCGCTGCAGGTTCTGAATACAGATACGCACACAGTTCTTAGCTGAGGAGAGAGTGGAGAAATAGAAGATATATATATGAATGAGAGAGAGAGAGAGAGAGAGAGAGAGAGAGAGAGAGAGAGAGAGAGAGAGAGAGAGAGAGAGAGAGAGAGAGAGAGAGAGAGAGAGAGAGAGAGAGAGAGAGAGAGAGAGAGAGAAGGGGTTACAGGGTCAATGAATCATGCATTGAGTAATTCAAGTAATTAACCATAAAAATACACGCCAGGCAAATTGCCTGAATGCCTCTACCATCATCAAAACGAACTGATAATCATCACCAAAGCAAACTGCTCATCACCAAAACCACAGTATTAAATAAAACACTAGCACAGTATTATTTTAAACCTTGGCATTGTTAATTACTCATTTCTGATTGGCTTGAAGGGCATTCTAGAGCGTGCATTATTTCCCTATTACGGATGGTATATCAGCACGGTAGAATTCAATGGCTATTTCAATCTTACATGTTCAATGTTTGAGCTGCTTTTGAAAGCAAAAGTCGAATTGTAAACATTATTGACATTGTTGAATTCGATGTTCATAATAGCAAGCTAAGACTGATGGTTTGGTTAGCTAAACTAGCAAGTCTGTTTGTTTGGTTACCAAGGCAACTACTGTAGTTACTGTATCTAGTAAACTTGCTAGCTACTTCAGTAGATGTTGAACACATTTCTACCTGCAAATGAACATATTTCTTGTGGGAACTGTGTTCAATTATAGCCATGGTATAATCCCTTACATATGTCCTCCATGACCAAAACAAACTGATAACGATCACCAAAACAAACCAGACAACAGTCATGTTTTGTGCTCTGGGCTGTGTATGGGAACAGCTAAGTAGATAATGAGGTCTGAGTGGATATCATGTGAATGTCTACTTTTGTGTTTGTCATGAGACCAGGGGCTCTGGTGACTGCTGCTTATCTCTACCCACATTCCTGAGATAGGAAAATCATCCTATCAATAAGGTTAGTGGTCTTAATGTTCTGGTGATTACTGAATCCCAGCAAACCGGGAACATTCCTATAACATTAGCTAAGATTCCCGTCAAGTATTTTTTTATCCAACAACCAACCACAGAACATTCCTCAAAAGTTCTCATTAGGTTTCCAGGTAACGTAATAACACAATGTACCAGTAATGTTTTACCAGAAAACCAAAATTGGTTCTGTGAAAGTTCCTAGAACATTCGTTAGGTCGCAGCAAATGTTCTCATAACACAAAAACTGTCCATGTGGTGATGATTATAGAATGTTTGTATAAAACAATCGCCTGATGTTGCAAGAACGTTCCTATAACACAATTAACCTTTAAAAGTCTAAGCCGTCTAAGCCAGGGGTGTCAAACTCATTTTAGCTCAGGGGCCACATGGAGGAAAATCTATTCCCAAGTGGGCCGGACCGGAAAAATAATGGTATATATAACTTAAAAACAACAACTTCAGATTGTTTTCTTTGTTTTAATACGATCAACATACAACATAAAGCTGGAGCCTGAGGACAGTGTGTCCAAAATAGTACAAGCACAACATCACTATTAATCATAAAACACGTCAAGTTTATTTGAAAATTCTAAAGAAAAAGAACACACAAACACACAATGCCTCAGTGATTAACAGAACTGTTTCACAGATCACAGAACTATATCAGGGTGTCATTTCTCAGTCAGAAATGTAGATAAAAATAATGAAATCCTGTTCCCCAAACAAGTGCAAGAACCACAGAGTCAAGAATAGGTTAAATATACAAATAAAAATCAATTAAAAACAATAGCACATCAACATAAAAACATAAACATAAATCTGAAAGCGTTGCTCAAACTCCCGTAATAGTCCCGTTATTTTATCTTTGAACCGCTTCATGTCTGCCACATGTTGGGTCGCGCACACATTTTTCAGACAGGGGAAGTGAGCTGCATCACCACCGGCAAGTTGCGTCTCCCACAATGACAGCTTCAACTTGAAAGAACGTATGCTGTCATAATACTGCGTGACAACTTTGTTGCGCCCTTGCAGCTGTTTGTTCAAGTTATTCAGGTGCTCTGTAACATCCACCATAAATGCAAGGTCCTGCATCCATTCTGCGGAATGAAATTCTAACACTGGTTTGCCCTTTTCTTCCATGAACTGTTCAATTTCTTCTCGTAAATCAAAGAAACGCCTCAGCACAGCACCTCGGCTTAACCATCTTACCTCAGTGTGGTATGGCAGGCCATAGATGTGGTCTTTCTCTCTGAGAAGGCTGTCAAACTGACGGTGATTCAGGCTTCTGGATCGGATGAAATGAACAGTTTGGATGACCACCTTCATGACGTTATCCATCTTTAATGACTTGCAACACAAAGCCTCCTGGTGCAAAATACAGTGAAAAGTCAAAAAATCACGTCCTCCATTTGCAGATTGCACTTTCTCTCTGAACTTTGTCACAACGCCTGCTTTTTTCCCGATCATTGAGGGCGCACCATCTGTAGCCAGGCTGACAGCGCGGGACCAGTCCACTCCGACCCTGTCCAGCGCGCCGACGAGTGCGGTAAAAATATCAGCTGCTGTCGTTGTATCTGTCATCGGCACCAACTCCACGAACTCCTCTGTGACGGTCAATGTGTCATCAACTCCGCGGATGAAAATGGCCAGTTGTGCAACATCTGTAATGTCCGTGCTTTCATCAATTGCAACCGAAAACGCAATAAATAACTTTACTTTTTGCTTCAACTGGCTGTCCAAATCCACTGAAAGATCGGAAATCCTGTCTGCAACTGTGTTTCTTGTCAGGCTGATATTTGCAAAAGCCTGCCGCTTTTCAGGGCACACAATCTCCGCTGCCTTCATCATGCATGTTTTTACAAATTCACCCTCACTAAATGGTTTTGAAGCCACTGCGATTTCATTAGCAATGAGGTAGCTAGCTTTCACTGCAGCGTCACTGATGTCTCGGCTGTGAGTAAACACAGACTGCTGTTTCTTCAGACCCGCCAACAGTTCATTCACCTTCTCTCATCTCCGCTGTCCTTGAAAGTTGTCATATTTGTCGGCATGAAGACTCACATAGTGGCGACGAAGGTTATATTCTTTCAGCACTGCAACATGCTCTGAACACACAAAACATACAGCTTTCCCATTCAATTCCGTGAATAAATAGGATGACCATTTTTCTTGGAACACTCTGCGTCCACTTTTCTCTTTTTTGACAGAGACATATTGGGGCAATGAGGGTGCCAAAGCACATAATGTTAAAAGTAGAAGCCGTAATAAATATCGCGGGCAAAACAAAGTAGCTCATTGGCTGCACGTGCTTGACCTACTTGCTCTGCCCCGGTATAGACAATTTGCTTGCTTAACACAATTGCTATTGCGCCATCCAGTGGACGCAATTGGAACAGCAGTTTATTTTATTGAAAAATTGCAGCGCATTTTTATGCTTTACAACAAAAAAAAAAAATATATATATATATATATATATATATATATACTTTTTTTTTTTTTTTTTTTTTTTTTTAAATCATCTCGCGGGCCGGATTAAACCCGTTTGCGGGCCTGATCCGGCCCGCGGGCCGTACGTTTGACACCCCTGGTCTAAGCTAAGATGGTCATACTATGGATCATTTTGCTATTTGAATTTTAGGACCCCTTTAGGTATCTATTTTTTTTGTATGTGTTATTATTTGATAAAATATTGAATTTGTCCTTTACTACTATAGCCCATAGCACTGAATAACACATTCATAAATGGCAAAAAAAGACAGTCAAAAAATAAATCATAAGGAATAAGGTTTTGAAGTGTCTGTCCTATATCTAGGAGATATAAGAACGCTCAGGAAATATTTTTGTTTTTTTGGACACCTATTTAACCCCTTATTTTGATTGGCACAAAACTACCTCCATACTTCCATCCGTTTGTATGGGTTACATTCAGACACTCAAGGTGCAAAAAACATTCACCTGATGTTACAAGAATGTTCCCATAACACATTTAGTCTATTCTTTAAAAGGTTCCCAGAATGTTTCATTAGGTTGTGGTAACATTGTGGGGACGTGACAAGAGGTATATTTCCAAAACACAAAAACTGTCCAGTTGTGTTGACATTCAGATAATGTTTGTATCAGGTTGAACAAAACATGCCTTTGATGTTGCAAGAATGTTGACAGAACAGCCTTTCTGAGTTCTTTAAAGGTTCCCAGAACATGTAGTTGTAGGAACAGTGTGGGTACATTACAAGAGATGGGTTCCCAAAACACAGAATATGCTCAGTTGTGATGACATTCGTACAATGTTTAAGTTAGGTTTCACAGGACATTCCCTTAATGTTGTAAGAATGAAATGTCAGTTTTTATGATGTTCATAGCATATTTGTTTTAGGTTTAACATAATATTCCATTGATGTTCACGCAATATACATTTTACCTTGTCTTGGAGGTCCTCAGAACATTTCAAGAACATTTAGAAAATTGTATATTTACGTTTTACCTAATATTACCACAACATTCTCTGCATGCAAATTAAAGCATAAGAAAGCAGATTGGAATACATCCCCATAATTATTCTCTCCAGATGTATTTCTATTTGCATTTGAGGACTGTATTGTAGGTGATATAGAGACACATGGCATTTTAATTTCATTGATAGGACATTTGAACAGCATTTAATCATACAAACACAACCATATTTTTACACTTCATATGTTGATAACCTGCACATTATTTAATTAATAGGATATTTGAAAATAATTTAATCATACAAACACAACCATATTTTTACACTTCATATGTTGATAACCTGCACATTATTTAATTAATAGGACATTTGAAAATAATTTATTCATACAAACACAACCATATTTTGCACATTTGGGGTTTGAACCTGCAATGTTTAACCAGGTCTTTTGTTCTCTGCGCCACCAGGAAAGCGCTCTTGCATCTTCTTTTATCAGTATATAGCCATGGCAGTATGGTCAATCAGGAATTCTATGCTTCCTTTTTAGCCTTCTTAGACATAACAATTCCAGCGAAATACTGGTAACTAGGTTATTCACCATCAATCACTTCACTTATCCTCTTTATGTGCTAGGTACTTCTGGGCCCATATTTACAAGGTATCCAAGACTATGAGTGCTGATTTCTGATCACAATTGCTTTTCAGATCATGAAAAATAAGCCAGGGGGGACCATATCAAGCATCTCAAAGTAGGAATTATATAGGGTGCGTTTTTTAAGGTTAAAGAGTACATTTTTACACAATGTTTTATTTTTTATAGTTTCTGCATTCTGCATTTCTGAAGTGGTGTAAAGTACTTAAGTAAAAATACTTTAAAGTACTACTTAAGTAGTTTTTTTGTGGGTACCTGTACTTTAATATTTATATTTTTGACAACTTTTACTTTTACTTCACTAAATTCCTTGAATGATTTTCTATTCAAGTATCTTTACTTTTACTCAAGTATGACAATTGGGTACTTTTTCCACCACTGCATTTCTGACTGGATTTACACATCTGGACGAAATAAAGACAGCCTCTCTTTTAGTAGAGTATATCTGAACCTCAATTTTTTTTTTTTTTTTTTATAAACATTGTTAAAGAAAATATTGGATTGAACCTGCAATCTTCGGATCTGCTGCCAGATCATGAACCCTCTGCGTCACCAGAGGATAGCTGTGGCCTTGTGCTTTTCCCAGTCAAATATGGTAAATGTGGGCACAGAACACAATTTCTGAGTTATTAAAATGTTCCTTTCCACTTCAGATGCTGTGTACTTGTAACACTGTATTTTATGATTTTCTATCTTCACCATATGTTGAAAGCCTTATGAAATAAGGAGAGAACTTCCTTTAAATAACGTATATTATTGTGTATTCATATGCTTCTTAAAAACAGGCTCATAACCTTCAAACTACACCGAACAAAAATATAAAAGCAACATGTAAAGTGTTGGTCCCATGTTTCATGAGCTGAAATAAAAGATCCCAGATATTTTCCATACGCCCAAAAAGCGTATTTCTCTCAAATTTTGAGCACAAATATGTTTACATCCCTGTTATTGTGCATTTCTCCTTTGCCAAGATAATCCATCCACCTGACAGGTGTGGCATATCAAGAAGCTGATTAATTACACAGGTGAAGCTTGTGCTGAAGACAATAAAAGGCACTCTAAAATGTGCAGTTTTGTCATACAACACAACGCAACAGATGTATCAAGTTTTGAGGGAGTGTGCAATTGGCATGCTGACTGCAGGAATGTCCACCAGAGCTGTTGCTAGATAATTGAATGTTCATTTCTCTACCATAAGCCGCCTCCAACGTTGTTTTAGAGAATTTGGCAGTACGTCCAACCGGCCTCATAACCGCAGAGCACATGTATGGCGTTGTGTGGGCGAGCAGTTTGCTGATGTCAATGTTGTGAACAGAGTGCCCCATGGTGGTGATGGGGTTATGGTATTGGCAGGAATAAGCTACGGACAACAAACATAATTGCATTTATCGATGGCAATTTGAATGCACAGAGTTACCATGATGAGATCCTGAGGACCAATGTCTTCCATTCATCCACCGCCATCACCTCATGTTTCAGCATGGTAATGCATGGCCCCATGTCGCAAGGATCTGTACACAATTCCTGGAAGCTGAAAATGTCCCAGCTTCCTGGAAGCTGAAAATGTCCGTGGCCTGCATACTCACCAGACATGTCACCCATTGAGCATGTTTGGAATGCTCTGGATCGACATGTACGACAGCGTGTTCCATTTCCCCCCAATATCCAGCAACTTCGCAAAGCCATTGAAGAGGAGTAGAACAACATTCCACAGGCCACAATCAACTCTATGCGAAGGAGATGTGTCATGCTGCATGAGGCAAATTATGGTCACACCAGATAATGACTGGTTTTCTTATCCACGCCCCTACCTTTTTATAAGGTATCTGTGACCAACAGATGCATATCTGTATTCCCAGTCATGTGAAATCCATAGATTAGGGCCTGACTGATTTCCTTTTATGAACTGTAACTCAGTAAAATCTTAGAAGTTCTTGCATGTTGTGTTTATATTTTTGTTCAGTAAAAGTAAGAAAACTATTTGACCTTTTCTCAATTTCAAAATCACATTATTAGACTTTCAACACGTGATGAAGAAAGAAAATAATAAAATACAGTGTTACAAGTACACAGCATATAAAGACGATGGCAACATTTTAATAACTCCGAAAATGTGCTCCATGTCCTGATGGGCTTGATATATGCTTGATAAATAGTGCATAAACTATTGTAAAGGATTAATTGCATGAAGAAATATTCATGGAAAAATACACATTCGGGAATTATTCAGACCCCTTCCCTTTTTCTAAATTTTGTTAAGTTACAGCCATATTCTAAAATTGATAAAATAATGTTTTTACTCAACAATCTACATACAATACCCCATAATGACAAAGCAAAAACAGGTTATTAGAAATGTTTGCTAATTTATCATAATATAAAACAGAAATACACATTTACATAAGTATTCAGACCCTTTACTCAGTACTTTGTTGAAGCACCTTTGGCAGCGATTACAGCCTCGAGTCTTCTTGGGTATGACGCTACAAGCTTGGCACACCTGTATTTGGGGAGTTTTTCCCATTTTTATCCTCTCAAGCTCTATCAGGTTGAATGGGGAGCATTACTGCAGAGCTATTTTCAGGTCTCTCCAGAGAAGTTTGATCGGGTTCAAGTCCGGGCTCTGGCTGGGCCACTCAAGGACATTCAGAGACATGTCCCGAAGCCACTCCTGCGTTGTCTTGGCTGTGTGCTTAGGGTCGTTGTCCTGTTGGAAGGTAAACCTTCGCCCCAGTCTGAGGTCCTGAATGATCTAGAACAGGTTTGCATCAAGGATCTCTCTGTACTTTACTCCGTTCATATTTCCCTCGATCCTGACTAGTCTCCCAATCCCTGCTGCTGAAAAACAACCCCACAGCATGATGCTGCCACCACCATGCTTCACCGTAGGGATGGTGCCAGGTTTCCTCCAGACGTGACAATTGGCATTCAGGCCAAACAGTTCAATCTTGGTTTCATCAGACCAGAGAATCTTGTTTCTCATGGTCAGAGAGACCTTTAGGTGCCTTTTGGCAAACTCCAAGCGGGCTGTCATGTGCCTTTTACTGAGGAGTGGCTTCTGTCTGGCCACTCTACCATAAAGGCCTGATTGGTGGAGTGCTGCAGAGATGGTTGTCCTCCTGGAAGGTTCTCCCATCTCCACAGAGGAACTCTAGAGCTCTGTCAGAGTGACCATCGGGTTCTTTGACAGTTCCCTGACCAAGGCCCTTCTCCCCCGATTGCGCAGTTTGGCCGGGCGGCCAGCTCTAGGAAGGGTCTTGGTGGTTCCAAACTTCTTCCATTTAAGAATGAACAGTTTGGGGAAGGCCCTTTCATGTTTCAGCATGACAATGCCCCCGTGCACAATGCGAGGTCAATACAGAAATGGTTTGTCGAGATCGATGTGGAAGAACTTGACTGCCCTGCACAGAGCCCTGACCTCAACTCCATCGAACACCTTTGGGATGAATGGGAACGCCGACTGCGAGCCAGGCCTAATCACCCAACATCAGTGTCTGACCTCACTAATGCTCTTGTGGCGGAATGGAAGCAAGTCCCCACAGCAATGTTCCAACATCTAGTGGAAAGCCTTCCCAGAAGAGTGGAGGCTGTTATATATATAAACATCTCATGATTTTGGAATGAGATGTTTGACGAGCAGCTGTACACATACCTTTGGTCATGTAGTGTATACTAAAAAAGAGGATGTCTTTATTTCGTTCAGATTTATAAATCCAGTCAGAAAATGCAGAACTTTGACTAACTGTAAAAACAAAAATGTACTGTTCCACTTTAGAAAATGCACCAAATATAATTCCTACATTGAGATGCTTGAAATGGTCCCCCCTGGCTTACTTTTTATGATCTGAAAAGCTAAAGTGAATCTAGATCAGCACTCAGTCTTGGATACCTTGTAAATATGGGCCCAGAAGTGTGCAGCATACAGTGCCTTCAGAAAGTATTCATACCCCTTGACTTATTCCACATTTAGTTGTGTTACAGCCTGAATTCAAAATGGATTAAATATTTTTTTTTCTCACCCATCTACACACAATACCCCATAATGACAAAGGGAATACTTTGTAGACACACCTTTGGCGGCAATTACAGCTGTGAGTCTTTTGGGGTAAGTCTCTAAGAGCGAAAGGGGTCAAATTAAGATCCGACATCTGTATGAAGTGTAAAAAATATGGTTGCATTTGTATGATTAAATGCTATTCAAATGTTCTACGAATGAAATTAACATGCCATGTGTACCTATATCACCTACAATACAGTCCTCAAATGCAAATTGCCATTAAATACAGAGAGAAACATAATTGGGGATGCATTCCAATTCGCATGCTCAGAATGTTGTGGTTATACATATGTTGGATCTTAATCTGAGACAGTTTGCTACAGCAGGAAAATCATCCTGCAGCAACAGGAAATGTGAATTATTATGTGGATTATAATTAATGGACATTCTTGTAGGGGTTGATAAATGGTTCATTAGGGCAAATAAAGTCAGAAATGTCAAAGTGGAAATTACAAACTTTAGAGGCATTTTTAAAACTCAAATACACTACAAGTTTGCATTTCCTGTAGTGCAGGAAAATGTTCAGCAACAAAGGAGTGATCAAATTATGATCCTACATCTGTATTAGGTCAAACTTAAATATACAATTTTCTAAATGTTCTTGAAATGTTATGAGGACCTCCAAGACAAGGTAAAAAGTATATTGCGCGAACATCAATGGAATATTATGTTAAACCTAAAACAAATATGCTATGAACAGCATAAAAACGGTCGTATTTCATTCTTACACCATTAAGAGAATGTCCTGTGCAACCTAACTTAAACATTGTAGGAATGTCATCACAACTGAGCATATTTTGTGTTCTGGGAACCTTTAAAGAACTCAGAAAGGCTGTTCTGTCAACATTCCTGCAACATCAAAGGAATGTTTTTTACACCCTGATACAAACATTATCTGAATGTCAGCACAACTGGACAGTTTTAGTGTTTTGGGAACCTCTCTCTTGTCATATCCCCAGAATGTTCCCACAACCTAAAGAAATGTTTTAGGAACTTTTAAAGGACAGGAAAAAAATGTGTTCTGGGAATATTCTTGCAACATCAGGCAAATGTTTTTTGCAACCTAATAGAAACATTGTAATAATTGTTGTGTTTTGGGACCATATTTCGTCATGTCCACATGATGTTCCCACAACCTAATGAAACATTCTGGGAACCTTTAAAGAACAGACTAAATGTGTTCTGGGAAAGTTATTGTAATATCACGTTAATGTATTTCTGCACCCTAAAAGAAACATTGTAGAATCATCTGCCCAACTGGACAGTTTTTGTGTTTTGGGAACATGTCTTTTGTGATGTCCCCACATTGTTCTCACCAGACTGTTCCCACAACCTAATGAAACATTCTGGGAACCTTTAAAGAACAAAATAAATGTTTACTAGGAACGTTCTTGCAACATCAGGTGAATGTTTTATACAAACAATCTATAATCATCACCATGACTGGACAGTTTTTGTGTTATGAGAACATTTGCCGCAACCTAAAGAATGTTCTGGGAACTTCACAGAACCAATTTAGGTTTACTGGGATGTTTCTCTCTGAACACATCACTGATGGGATAAACATCCAACCAATAACTTAAGCTAAACTGATACAGACTCTCTACCACTCTCTATTGAGGAATTGTATTTTGTAATCAAACACCAGGGTTGCATTGATATTTCGTTCACTTCGTTTTTTTACTTAATAAAAGTTCAGCTAGTATCTAATCTTTTTCAAATTATATGCTCCTGTTCAATACCTACCTGAGAACCATGTCTGTTGTTTTGAGCACAGTGGTTGCAACAACAAGCTTGTGGGTTTGATTCTTGCATGGGCCACTAATACTGAATATATTAGGCTAATTATCTACTACAATTATAATTTTTACACTTCAGCTCACCCTGTAGGAAGGGGACGGTATTGGGTGTCTTAGCAGCAGAGACAGCTCTGAGGACACGTGATGCCTGGTGCCTCCAGGGGGCACTAGTCTGGTCATGTAGTGATGTGAGCGAGATGATCAGACACTGCAACTCCTGAGTTTCCACCATCTCCTCCACACTGGAAGGGTGACTGCACAGCTGTAACAGGACCTAAGGAGGGAGAGGAGGTTAGGGGTTAAGTGCCTTGCTCAAGGGCACATGACAGTAGGTGGCCCCTTTAATAATAATATACATCATTTGGCAGACGCTTTTATCCAAAGCAACTTAGTCATGTGTGCATACCTTTTTTTACGTATGGTTTGTCCGGGAATCAAACCCACTATTGTAAGTGCCATGCTCTACCAACTGAGCTACAATGGACCACCTGAGATTATATTGCCAGCACTGTTCACTATTGACTGATATTATCTATCAGCACTGGGATTCGAGCAGACAACCATGCTCTTACTGATCAGCCTCTCTAACCTTGAGGGTACCGCTGAAATAGACTAGAGGACTCACCTGTATGAACAGTTCTTGAAAGGTCTCCTCTACTGCTGCTCTCTCCTTCCGGGCCGGTAGACACACTAGCAGGTAGAGACACTTCACCAGGGCTGCCGGCAGACCTGGCTTTACTACAGACATCAAGTCCTAAAAATAGAGAAGAACACACAACAATCTGACTTTACTGACCAAATCACCTCCCAGAGAAAGAGAACACAATATAACCTGGCTTATTGAAGACAGCAATTCCTAAAGAGAGAAAAAACAGAAATAAAATAAAAAAAATGAACTTTTATTCCTAGCAACAGAAAATCTGATAAGCTTTTATGACTTGCCTTTAAAACTTGTTCTTTGAGTGTGAATAACTGACAACAACAAAAACACAGACATTGCATTGCTTCCTAAAAATATGCCACCAAGGTGTTGTCTGTCTGTGAGGGGCTTGCCAAGTCCTATGCACTGGAACAACTCTGATTGATTAATAATAATAATAATAATAATATAATATAATATAATATGCCATTTAGCAGACGCTTTTATCCAAAGTGACTTACAGTCATGCGTGCATACATTTTAGTGTATGGGTGGTCCCGGGGATCGAACCCACTACCCTGGCGTTACAAGCGCCGTGCTCTACCAGCTGAGCTACAGAGGACCACCCATAACTAATTAACACATACTGAATCATAATTTAACTAAACAACACTGGGAGTTTCCAGATGGTTTCACTTCCAGTTACCTGGGACTTCAGACTACAGTACACAGGGGTGAACTATATTGTGTTAAACCACAGTCAGTCTGTTAAAGGGTCAGGGTTGCCATGCTTTAGATTCAAACATGTTTAACTTCACTCACTGTAGAGTTTGTAGCGGTCAGGAGAGACAGAGTCTTCAACAGAAGCCATCCTGCATTGTCTGTCTGTGTTGTCTGGCTGTGTGACTCTCTCCTGTCTGTCTCCTCTGTCATGTCTGTCTCCCTGCTGTCTATCTCACTGTTGTCTATTTCTTCTGTGTTGTCCCTCTCGTCTCTTCTCTGGAAGAACTGCTGCACCTCGTAGCGAGCCTCCTCTAGGAGAGAGATGGACAGTTACAGACACACAACAGGGGTTAGAATCACAGATACACCCAAGGCGTAGAAACAAATCTGTCCAGGAACAACCCCATAGCACCTAACCTTAGACACTGAAGCTTATCAAAGGGCAAGGTAGAGCAGCTACTACCATATTGCTTACACTGTACATAGCCATTCCTTTCAGATCTACTTGAAGGGCCTAGTGGATAGAGGCACATGAACAAAGGAAACCCTTAACTTCAAACTGAAAGCATACTTACTAACAGAGTTCTCAGAGAGCCTGTTCTAACGCAGAGGGTAAAAATAATAATAGTATTTTTACCATCCACTGAAACTACTCTCACTTTCTAGTCTCAAACATCAAGATCTGCATGAGGTGTCTTTCTGTTTTGTTATTTAGGTTGACTTTCTAGAAAGTTGCTCTAGTACAGTTACTGTACTGTGCTGGTATGTAAATACTAAAGTATTAAACCAATAACTTCATGACACTGTTATTTGTAAAGAGGTCCTGGTACAGCAGAGAAACACACAGCTAACAGAGAAACATGACATACAGTACATCACTATGACATAGTTCAGAACAAAAAACAGAAGTATCCACTTCTCTAAAAAAAAAAGTCTGGTCGTACTAAGATGCAAAAAAGGTCACACACAAACAGTCACGCTCGCACACACTGCCTTCTTATACCCTGCAGTAACCCAGTAAAGCTTATCAGAGAAATATGACTGAAGAGAACTCTAGTGGAGCAGAACACAGAGGGAAGTCATGCCATAACCGTACTAAAGGCATGATGACCATAAAATACCTGCAGGTTTTTCTGCCAGTATGTCATGGATGTTGGAGACGACAGTGTCTGCAGTCAGAGCAGCTAGACTCCTCAGATCCAGCTCATTTGTCCCACCACCACTTTCACATACCTACAGTAGAAAGAGAGGGCGAGAGAGAGAGAGAGAGAGAGAGAGAGAGAGAGAGAGAGAGAGAGAGAGATGGTTACTGTAGTTAGGTTTAGCTAGCATTGAGTGCTGCTAGTTTACTTTACAGTGAATAGTCTTACTGTAGTAAATGTATTGATACAGTTAAAAACCTGAACCGAGGCAGAATGGAATAGTTGATGCAACGAATGAGTATTTAGCAGAAGCACAGATGCAGGTTTCGTTTCTCTTTTTATGCACTGCAGAATCAGATACACCAAATAACAACTAGACAAATACCAGACATGCAATACCAACTACACAAATACACAACACCAGATTTATAGTGTCTGCATTGTAACCTGTAAGAAGATATGGATATAGGTGATGTGTTTGAATGGGCCCCTATATACTGGTGAAATCCCACTGCGCAGATCATGGGGCCTATGTGTGTGCACGCGCACACACACCAGTCACACGTGAAGACTCCCTCCTTTAGTTCAAGGGGAAAAGACTCAGAGACTGCTTACGCCTGCGGCTATGGTTATCACCATGGTCCTACCCAGATCAATGCGCATGCACATGCATGCACACACACAGCAGCCTGCTCAATGGGCACAGAGATCAGCGCTGGAATTCAGCCAAAGGAGAGTACTTGCCATGATGATTGTCATTAACTTGCTATTATGGGAGGAAATCGTAGGATAAACCCTATCAGTTTGTCTATAGGCATTGTCAAAGGGTCTCTGATTGGGTTATAGTAAAGAAGTGACTTCAGTTGAGAAGAAAGTGCTGACATTATCATCATAGTCAACCAACATGATCTGATAATGGCCATTTCCTGTAGTTAGAGAGAAAGATAGCAAGGGGATACCTAGCCTGCTCCCACATCTGTTCATGACATATAGCCAACTCCTGTGGCCGTTTGGCATGACAATAACCACAGAAGTTGGTAAGATAGCACAAACACATCTGGGACCAGGGATACCCCAGTACTGTACCTGTATGTAGAGAGGCAGGACTCGGAGCAAGTGTTCCTCTCTTTGGTCGAGGGGGAGGGGTGTGTCTATCTCGCTTTGGTCCATGGTTTCCTTTTGGGTATGTGTGTGTTTCTGGCCAGAGGTGTTCTTACTATCCTTGTGTGTGTGTGTCTCCATCTGTTGGAGCATCTCTCGGAGGACCAGAAGGGGATGGGTCTGGGGTCCTTCACCTCTCTCCCCCTTCTCCCCCCCCTCCTTCAGATCCAGGGGGGCAGCTAGCTCCCCCGAAGCGCTCAGCTCCCCTGTCTCCTTGTTGATCCTCTCCACGTCACCCATCTGCTCCTGACAGACAGACAGAAACAGAGAGGAGAAACAGAGAGAGTGAAATAGAGACGGAAAGAGGACATTTTTCCAGAATTTCCGGTTGGTTGGCTCAGTCTGGGTTACCCCTTAGTGTCTATTGAATAGATTATAATCAGTGTTGGACACATCTGTTTGCAGGCTGGTTTCTAACAGTGGAAGTGACATAGAAACACACTTAAAATCAGACTTCACTTCTCCCATTGTCTTCAGTCCCTCTATAAACAGCTCGTCTACGGAGATAAAGAGAGAAAGCTAGACTACTGATATTTTTATCAACCTCTAAGCAGTCAACAGCTCAGAGTGAGAAGGGTGAGCATGACAACACCTGTAGGTCCCAACTAGTGTTGCAAAATACAGAAACGTTCTCATGTTTGTCAGAAATACCGGTTGGAGGATTCCCAGAATAAGGAGCAAATAAGCACGGAGGGAATCATGGAGGGAGAGACGTTTCTGGAATTTCACAACCATAGTTCCTACAATAAACGCAGACCTCCAAGTATTCTCAATTTTCCTTTTCTGAGATAAAGATGAACTGGAACACGCCAGAGGAACTAAGTGTGCCTAATGAACTCCTTGAGGGTGTGATTTGATAGTGCACTATAAAGAGATATGAACGGTAAGGGGTTAGAAAGAAATGCAACACAAACGTACACCTGGGAGCCAGCCAACTGTTCCAATTATTTGGTTCAATTAATTGAGAGTTTGGCTCACGTTTTGGATCACAGGCACTTTCACTTTAATTTCTGAAGAATGTTGAGATTTATGACATCACTGACTAATCCTTCTACATCTCGTGCTAGTCTCCCACACAGCTGTGAGGGAACACACATGCACACCCTCTCCCTATCAGCTGTTCACAGTCACATTAGGATGTAATTGTTGTCTTGTGATGTAACACTGGGCTTGCTGCAGGGAAGGAAAACTGCTTCGGTTTGCTCATACTCTGGTTGTCCCGTGTGTGTGGGGGGGGAGGGGGTGATGTGTTTAGGAACTACGGTGATCGAGCGAACACACACACACACACAGGGCCTCTTGTGCTGCCCATTATCCCTGCACTATGGGTACACACAGAGACAGATCTTGGTCTGTGACTTTGAACATAACCGAGTAATGAGAATGAGCTTCACATACAGTGGGGAGAACAAGTATTTGATACACTGCCGATTTTGCAGGTTTTCCTACTTACAAAGCATGTAGAGGTCTGTAATTTGTATCATAGGTACACTTCAACTGTGAGAGACAGAATCTAAAACAAAAATCCAGAAAATCACATTGTATGATTTTTAAGTATTTAATTTGCATTTTTTTGAATGACATAAGTATTTGATCACCTACCAACCAGTAAGAATTCCGGCTCTCACAGACCTGTTAGTTTTTCTTTAAAAAGCCCTCCTGTTCTCCACTCATTACCTGTATTAACTGCACCTGTTTGAACTCGTTACCTGTATAAAAGACACCTGTCCACACACTCAATCAAACAGACTCCAACCTCTCCACAATGGCCAAGACCAAAGAGCTGTGTAAGGACATCAGGGATAAAATTGTAGACCTGCACAAGGCTGGGATGGGCTACAGGACAATAGGCAAGCAGATTGGTGAGAAGGCAACAACTGTTGGCGCAATTATTAGAAAATGGAAGAAGTTCAAGATGATGGTTAATCACCCTCGGTCTGGGGCTCCATGCAAGATCTCACCTCGTGGGGCATCAATGATCATGAGGAAGGTGAGGGATCAGCCCAGAACTACACGGCAGGACCTGGTCAATGACCTGAAGAGAGCTGGGACCACAGTCTCAAAGAAATCCATTAGTAACACACTAAGCCGTCATGGATTAAAATCCTGCAGCGCACGCAAGGTCCCCCTGCTCAAGCCAGCGCATGTCCAGGCCCGTCTGAAGTTTGCCAATGACCATCTGGATGATCCAGAGGAGGAATGGGAGAAGGTCATGTGGTCTGATGAGACAAAAATAGAGCTTTTTGGTCTAAACTCCACTCGCCATGTTTGGAGGAAGAAGAAGGATGAGTACAACCCCAAGAATACCATCCCAACCGTGAAGCATGGAGGTGGAAACATCATTCTTTGGGGATGCTTTTCTGCAAAGGGGACAGGACGACTGCACCGTATTGAGGGGAGGATGGATGGGGCCATGTATCGCGAGATCTTGGCCAACAACCTCCTTTCCTCAGTAAGAGCATTGAAGATGGGTCGTGGCTGGGTCTTCCAGCATGACAACGAGCCGAAACACACAGCCAGGGCAACTAAGGAGTGTCTCCGTAAGAAGCATCTCAAGGTCCTGGTGTGGCCTAGCCAGTCTCCAGACCTGAACCCAATAAAACATATTTGGAGGGAGCTGAAAGTCCGTATTGCCCAGCGACAGCCCCGAAACCTGAAGGATCTGGAGAAGGTCTGTATGGAGGAGTGAGTCAAAATCCCTGCTGCAGTGTGTGCAAACCTGGTCAAGACCTACAGGAAACGTATGATCTCTGTAATTGCAAACAAAGGTTTCTGTACCAAATATTAAGTTCTGCTTTTCTGATGTATCAAATACTTATGTCATGCAATAAAATGCAAATTAATTACTTAAAAATCATACAATGTGATTTTCTGGATTTTTGTTTTAGATTCCGTCTCTCACAGTTGAAGTGTACCTATGATAAAAATTACAGACCTCTACATGCTTTGTAAGAAGGAAAACCTGCTAAATCGGCAGTGTATCAAATACTTGTTCTCCCCACTGTAGTTTGAAGTTGATCTGTGAAAACCATGTGCTGTTCTTTCTCTCTATCCCTCTCTCTCTCTTTCCCTTTCGCTAAGCTCTTCCTCATACCATGACAGAACTGGTTCATACCAGTACAGCAGAGCATTATTGAGTGGAGGAGCAACATGTCTGTTTACGAGAACATAAACCTGTTCTCCCAAACACAAACAATAAAACTTCACTATAATACAACCTCACTATAATAAAACCTTATCCTGGCACACAGACAGCCTGACAAGTCTCAGAGCAGGCCCATAGTATATACTGTAACTGTACCTACCTGTGTGAGAGTCATCTGTGAGTCCACTGACAGTCAGGGGGATCGGAGTTGTTAAATCCAAATAAGGGTTCTCTCTCTCTTTCCCTTTCCCTCTCTCTGTTCCCATGTCAGGGCATGCAGGCTTTCACCATTAGTGACATGACTACTCTAGCCCTTCAGTCCAGTGTGTGTATGTGTGAGTCCTCAAACCTCTCACTAATCTGTGTGTCCTCCACTACAGCAGTCCCATCAGTAATCTGCAGAGAGAGCGCAAGAGTGGTCTGATCTGAACTTCGCTCCGTCTTACATCAGCAGGGCCAGGTCATGTGCTTAATTTCCTATGAGCCAAAAGCAGAAGTGAAGAACTCTGTTGTTCTGGTAACTATGGCGGAACCCTGCCAGCTCTCGCCACTCCACATTCTGACTGCAATAGAGACCTGTTTGGCTTTTTATAGACCTGTCATGTTACCCGTGGTGATGAGGAGTAATGAAAGCAGGACAAACGTGTTGCCAAACATGAACAAAATCATTTTTTCTGTGATTAGCGATGCGTGGGTAAAATCACTGGGGAAGCCAAGCCCCCCCCCCCCAAAAAAAAAACACATTAAAAATGATGTGTTATGATAATTGCGTAACATATCATACTACATGGAGTGTCCGGATTTACATATAGAATAATAATAATACGAAATGCTATGAAATCAGGTTGCAGCCAGCCAGCAGTGTGCAGTCAAAATATAAGAAAATGCTTGCTAACATGGTTAACTACTTGATTAAATGAGTCTGTTTTCAACAAATCAACCATTTTACACTATTATATTTTATCCAAGCAAGACAAATAAACATGCAATCACTAATGAGTGAATGAACAAAATCATCTTGGAACGAACGCTTCCAGATATTTAAATGGTCTGTCGAAGTCAAGGTGTTAAAATCAGGATTCATAGTGTAATGGTCAGTGCTTGACTTGGGCCGGAGCTGTCCAGAGCGCCATCCCAGCACTTCTATAAAACAAAGTAGCCTATCGCCGGACCAAATTCACACACCGAGGCAAAAAAGGTTGATCAAAGCGTAATGAAGGCGGGATCTGCATTGAATAGCAATGGAGAGTGGGCATTAATTTCCTGATTCCGCTTTGTTCAAGATTATTTGCCGCTAGTCTGTGAATCTGTGAGTGACAGTAGGCTGTTGGAGATTGCGCAGATTGAAAATCCGTCAGAGTAACTGGTGTGCGTAATGAGGTGTGCATAATGAGGGTTGCCAGGTGTGCATGAGAATGGGTTGCCAGGACCGGTGGTTAGTAGAGCGGCGACGACGAGCGCCGGAGTGGGGGAGCGGGAGTGGACTTGACAGTCAGCCTGAATGCGCATGATGCGCTGTTCCTAGTTGTCAAATTAGTGTTTTTAAGGTCATGAAATCTCATGTAAATTAGTTTCATAATTTTTGCTAACCTAATTTATGAAGGCACACTTTTAAATATTATCAATCACTTAAAAATCTACACATCAGCCATTATCAGAATGACCCTTCAGCACGTGTCTGTGTGTGCCGTGTGTGTGCCAGTGTGAGTGGGCCATTGACTAAGGAGAGAGAGCGACATTTCAGCAACAGGGAGCCTATAATTATATCAGAAAACAGACTAACTCGATAGCCAATTCAAAACATAACTTGTAGCAGTTATTTCGCTAGTTAACTATAGCTAACTAAGCATTAATGTCGTTGTCGCCTTTCCACCGGCACTGTAGATAGCCTAAATAAATCTACACCGTTTGAAATCGGGGATTGCCCCTCAATTAAACAGTAGCCCTGTAATTGCCACATCATTCAAAATATTCTAAGAATAGCCTAATTTACAAATAACTTGCCGTGCATAGATCTCCCCTGAAAAATGAATATGTTTGCCTTATATGCAGTGCCTTTGGAAAGTATTCAGACCACTTGACTTTTTCCACATTTTGGTAGGTTACAGCCTTAATCTAAAATTGATTAAATTGCCCCACTCAAGGACATTCAGAGACTTGTCCCGAAGCCACTCCTGCGTTGTCTTGGCTGTGTGCATAGGATCGTTGTCCTGTTGGAAGGTGAACCTTCGCCCCAGTCTGAGGTCCTGAGCACTCTGGAGCAGGTTTTCATCAAGGATCTCTCTGTACTTTGCTCCGTTTATCTTTGCCTCGATCCTGACTAGTCTCACAGTCTCTGTTGCTGAAAAACAT